TACTGCAGCCTTGAACTCCTGGGCTCAAGTGTTCCTCCTGTCACAGGCTCCCTAGAAGCTGGAACTACAGGCCTGCCATTCCTGGCAGGCTAGTCTTGAACTCCTAGCCTCAAGGGATTCTCCCACCTTGGCCTCCCAAATTGCTTAGGAATTACAGGCTGTGAGCTACTATGCCTGCCTCTCATATGTTTAAAGGTTTCCTCTATTTCTTGTATTTCCTGTAAACTGATATGTGAGTTGAAATTAGCGGTTGGACAACTCTGTGGAGAGGGCCAGAGAGAAAATACTTTATTCTGTCTGGTCATAAGGTCTTTAATTACTCATCTTTGTCTTTGTAGTGGGCAAGCAGCCACACCATAGTAAACCAGATGGGCGTGGCTTTGTTCCAGTAAAAGGTTACCAAAACAGGCCAAAGTTTGCCAACCCCTGAACCAGAGGCTTCGAGAGATCATTTGCAAAATATTGTTGTTTCCCCGAAAATAAGACCTACCCATAAAATAAGCCCTAGCAGGATTTCTAAGCATTTGTGCAATATGAGCCCTACCCCGAAAATAAGACCTAGTGATGGGCGTGGCTACACAGCATATCTGCACAACCCCTGCATTTTGTTGCAGAGTGGTAAAGAAGAGGAGCAGCCCTTCTCATATGCCCCGTCATGATAGCTGCTATCCTAGAGGTGACCTAAAAGGTGCGGGCAGCCCCGCCAACAAGGTCGGCTCCCCCTGTCAAGTCCCAGCCATCCTTAGCATGCTGCAAGCTGAGGCTTTGAGGGGAAAATAACACATCACCTGAAAATAAGCCCTAGGGTGTCTTCTTGAGGAAAAATAAATATAAGACTGTTTTATTTTCGGAGAAACAGTATTTGTTGGTGATTTGTGTATTTGTATTACTTTCATCAGGAAGGCATATTTAAATTGTTGCTTTGTTAATGATGCTAAGCTTGATACTTGGTTATGGTTGGGATCATCAGAGCACTCTTAAAGATAGACTTTTTCTGCTGAGTAGGAAAGTAGTATATGGCATTCTTTTTGTGGTTTATAAGTGTGATGATGTGATGGAGTTTTAGTATTTTTTCTCATACAAATGAGGATGATGATTGGGTTTTCATGCTCAATTGGGAGATGTGCCTCCCTCAGACCCTCTTATGACTTGTACATTACCCATCTTTGTGAATTTAAAAAAGTAGGCCGGGCGCTGTGGCTCACGCCTGTATCCTAGCTCTTGGGAGGCCGAGGCGGGCGGATTGCTCAAGGTCAGGAGTTCAAAACCAGCCTGAGCAAGAGCGAGACCCCATCTCTACTATAAATAAAAGAAATTAATTGGCAACTGATATATATATAAAAATTAGCCGGGCATGGTGGCACATGCCTGTAGTCCCAGCTACTCGGGAGGCTGAGGCAGAAGGATCACTCGAGCCCAGGAGTTTGAGGTTGCTGTGAGCTAGGCTGATGCCACGGCACTCACTCTAGCCTGGACAACAAAGCAAGACTCTGTCTCAAAAAAAAAAAAAAGTAATATGTGTGTTGATATTTTGGCACCTAGAATATCTTGTTCCCCATTAGTCTTTCTACCAACTATTTTAGCATCTGTGTGTAGCCTGCAGTGACTTAACTTTTATATGTATTTCACATTTTTGTAGGTGTATTTTCACAGTAAGCTTTTGAGGTTGAATGTCAGGTTAGAGTGCAACTGTATGTTTAATTTTGTTAGTTGTTATAAATTCTTCACAGGTCTTGTATTATTGGCAGTTTCCCAATGGACTTGTAAAGTTTACACATTAATCTGTTGAAAAATAAGGAACCGAGTTTAGTTTGAACTGCAAGACACTTGTTTTCAAAAGAATATTAATATCTATATTCATGTAAGAATACTCATGTATTTTCAGAATATAGTTGTTTTGGTTTATATTGTATGTGGCATATATTTTATGTGGGTGTTTATTTTTGTGTTGTAATTCTATTTCGTGAGCTTCTACTTGTGCTTAGATATACTGTTACATTTTTGTGGGAATGGAAATTGTGTGACAATCCACAAATGATTTTTTTTTTTTTTTTTGAGACAGAGTCTCGCTTTGTTGCCCAGGCTAGAGTGAGTGCTGTGGCGTCAGCCTAGCTCACAGCAACCTCAAACTTCTGGGCTCGAGCGATCCTTCTGTCTCAGCCTCCCAAGTAGCTGGGACTACAGGCATGCGCCCATGCCAGCTAATTTTATATATATATCAGTTGGCCAATTAGTTTCTTTCTATTTATAGTAGAGACGGGGTCTCGCTCTTGCTCAGGCTGGTTTTGAACTCCTGACCTTGAGCAATCCGCCCGCCTCGGCCTCCTAGAGAGCTAGGATTACAGGCATGAGCCACCGGGCCCGGCCCACAAATGATCTTTCTAGTCCTTTAATGCACCAGGGTTTCTGCCAGTGACAGGTTACTAAGAACCATCAAAACAGGCATAGTATGGCCACCATGGGATTTATAGTCCATAAGGGAAGACAGATTTTAAATGAATATTGGCAAGTTTGCCATGTGAACATCAGAATGGATTACTAGGAGGGGGAAAGACATAATGGGAAGAATTGATTTTAAGATATTTAAGAGAATGAAAGCATGAGTGGGATTTAGCTAGCCAGAGCTTTAAGCTAGGGTGAGGTGTAGAGTAAGTGAGAACATTTCAGATGCTGGGAACTTTCTGAGCAAAATCCCAGAGCAGTTGAGAGCTTCGTGTATTTCTTGCACAGAGGAAAGGGGTTGGCTGAGGAGCAGAATGAGTGGTGGGAAGTAGACTGGAGAGCGAGAAAGAAACCGTCTGAGGGTCACAAACTGCAATTGCAGTGGCTCCCAAACTGCCTCTATGAGCCTGATCAGCCTCAGTTCCTGTGTGCCCAAGCCTTTCAGAGTCATTTCATGGGGGCTGTTGTGTTTCTGCTCTCCACTTTTGAGTGATACTAGCATGTCATGCAGACACCTCTGTAAACCGGGCTTTGTTCCAGTTAGATGGGCATAAGCCATAGGCATGGGTTGAGAAAGAGGATGCAGTGTGAATGGAGCTTGCATTGAAATGAGTCTTTGCCATCTGTTCATGCAGTTTACTCATACCCGCTGCAGCTTCTAGAGCTCAGCATCTTCTGTGCTATTTCCATTTGATGATAGATAGCTGCTCCATCTGCCCAAACTTATGGCTTGGTGGGTTAGACAACATCAAGTTCATGTTGGGAAGCTCAATTCATGTGGTCATTGGATGTTCCATTGTTAGTTGTTTGGTATCTATGATATACCATTGGTACCTTTCTCTCAAAAGGAGAATAGTTTCCTACAGAGGAGGACTTAGATTTACTCCAAACTACTAGAGGTCTGTGCTGATTCTCCCATTGGTACTTGCCAGAGGCTTCCAGCAACATCCTATTTACTGCAGATACTTTGAGCATCATTGTGTCTGCTGGTTGATTCGGACTAAGTGCTTGAGAATCTTGTACTGAAGTCTAATCTTGGTGTGCTGCACTCACTTGGTGTCTACTGACTTTAAGCATTACAAGCATCTCTGTAGATGAGTTACAGCACACTGAAATGTGGTATTTGTTGCCTAAAGAATCTTATAGGTCTGCCAAGTGTGCCTCATTTTGGGAGCAGGTAATATACAATGGCTAGGAGTGACACCTTTGAGGGGATATCTTCATATGGTTTAGGCCACTGGACCCCCCAGAAACTTTATTGATTTTGGCCCTTGAATTGCTCATCCTCTGCTTTGTTTGTTATGTGTCTTATAAAGGTACCCAAACCATTTGCTGTTTCCTGTTCACGGGATCCAGCATGCAAAATGTTATCAATGTGGTGGACCATTTTGATGTTTTGTACAATATCAAAACCTCTGAAGACTCTATTTTCATAGAGAACAGAGGAACTGATATAAGTTTGTGATAGTCCATAGTAATTCTCCAAGATCCATGATTTCTGCATAATCCTAAGTGATTAGGAAATTGAATGAGAGGCTATAAATGTCCTCTGTGGTGACTTTATCAGATTTTTGACCACTAGACTTGAGACTCCTTGTTTCATAGATCTAGTAATATTCCAGGATACAGGTTGGCAAACTGTGGCCCATGGGACACATCTAGCCTTAAACCTATTATTGTAAATAAAGTTACTGGAGCAAGACCATGTTCACTTGTTTATGTATTTTCTATGGCTTCTTTCATACTACACGGGCAGAGTTGAGTGTTTGCAACACAGACCATATGGCCCCAAATCCTAATATTTACTATATATCCCTTTACAGCAGGATTTGCTAATCCTGTTCTAGTAGGCTGCTTGTCTGTTTCATTCTAGGGACACTGGGATCAGTTTGCCACCACCAATGATTTATTCAGGCCAAAGCATTCTGATTATGGATACATTCAGTGTGCCCTTGACATTTGATGTGACCTCATTGTCTTTGATGGTTTAGTGTTACTGATTTCTGGTACCAGGGTTCTCATCATCCTCACTGAAATTAAGTAATATCAGTGATTTTATCCCCTATAGTCATAACAGGTGTATAATGGAGAATAAACATGGAACTTTTCAAAGATGGAGGTACTCCCTTCAGTTATCTGTTTCTTTGTTTTTCTTGCTTCCTTTGAAGATCAGTTATCTATTTCTGAATGCCTTTTTGAAGAGGCTCTTTTCTGGGCCATCAACCTAGGGGAAGGGAGGCTATGCAGAGCACATTCTATCATCACAGGCAGAAAAGAACCACATTTCTCAGGCCTTAAGTTTTCTTACCTGTACAATGAGGATGTTACACTTTTCCTAATTGGCAGGCTGGCTTACAATCCTTTTTTCTGGCTCTAGGCAAGACAGCTGCAATCATATTGTATGGACACATGTGTGTGTGTTTTCCTAAGTGTGCTGGATTATATGGGAATTTCAAATTAGGTTGGAATGAATTCCATGCATATGAATGTGAGGGTTCTGGTCAACTCTGGGTTCTCATGCCCTCTTTCTTTTCCAGGAGGTCTTCTTTCTAGGGACCCAGCCTGCCTTTATGAAGAAAAGACAGAGGCAGAAAGGAAGATGGTTGATGGCCTGACGAATTGTTATCAGGTATGCAGAAAGTGTATTGTTCTAGAAAATCACATACTTACATCACCAGGTAGACACTTTTCCTTCTAGGCAGACATGTTTCCAGAGCTGCTTAAAGTAAATGGAGTCACTCAAGGACTGAGTCATTCATTGAATTTTCCCAGAGAGTGGAGGCTCTCATACTGGTGAAGGATTACCTTGAAAAACATTTCAGTAATTATTAATTAATCTTGTCCCTCATGGTGCTGAAGATATGTTTCTTATTTTGCTGAGTGCTCTGTCAGATGATAAGGAAGATGAAAGTATCCTCTACTCAAAGATTTATCATTCATCACCATTTATCAAGTGTATGCAATATGTTCTGGAGTGTACTTTAATAGAGGAAAATAAGACAAAAGTGCTCGCAGTCTGTTTGTGGTTGAGATAAATTCATGTTTGAGATGTGCCATTAAAGCCATGTGACTGGAATTGATGAACAGTGAATGAGTGGGGATAGAGAGGAAAATACCTGGGACCTGTGAACCTTGGGTAGACAGTGAAAGGCCTTACAACTCTGTGTAGACATTGTGTTCTCTTACCTCATTGTGCAGTGAACATTGCTTGATATGTTACTTGGCTCACGCCAGCATGTGTGTGATGGTTTAGGACTCAGTGACCTTTGATGATGTGGCTGTGGACTTCACCCAAGAAGAGTGGGTTTTATTAGATAGAAGTCAGAAAATTCTCTACATAGATGTGATGCTGGAGAACTATAAGAACCTGGCCACAGTAGGTAAGACTGACATCATTCCTTATAGCCTGCTATGGAACAAATTGTGTTACATATTTACAGTGTTGCAGGATCAGTGATATGAATTCTGAATACAATGGGAAATAACACAGATACAGTCCCTGCCCTAATGGGTTTTAATTACTGTTGTGAGCCTCAAAATGTAGTCCCATATTAATGGCATCACTGTTACTTTCTTAGAAACGTGCATTCTTAGTCTCCACCTTTGACCTACGGAATCAGAAGCTCTCACTTGGACTCTGTCTTCTGTGTTTTATCTATCCCTCCACAAGATTCTGATGCACTATAATATTTTTAAATCGCTGGTATAGTTTTTTCCCCATGTGAACAAAGATCTCTTTGTTTCACTTTATTTCTTATATGTTTAAAATGTTAGTGCTTTATAAATACGTACATAGCATCAATCTGGGTTTCAGGGGTCAGAGATGACCAATTTTGAGTGCACAGAATGAAGTGATATTTGCATTTTTAGTCTTTTGAAATAATTTCACTGCTTTTATTAGAAGTATAGTTCATGAATCATAGTCAAGTTTATCATCTTTTTTTTTTTTTTTTTTGAGACAGAGTCTCTGTTGCCTGGGCTAGAGTGCTGTGGCGTCAGCCTAGCTTACAGCAACCTCAAACTCCTGGGCCCAAGTGATCCTCCTGCCTCAGCCTCCCGAGTAGCTGGGATTACAGGCATGTACCACCATGCCTGGCTAATTTTTTCTATATATTTTTAGTTAGCCAATCAATTTCTTTTTATTTATAGTAGAGACAGGGTCTCGCTCTTGCTCACGATGGCTTCAAACTCCTGACTTTGAGCAATCCTCCCATCTCGGACTCCCAGAGTGCTAGGATTACAGGCGTGAGCCACCTCACCCAGCCAGGTTTATTATCTTTTGCATGAGCCTTTTCCATTAATGTATCTTTCTTCGTGTAAAGGATGTCAGGTTATCAAACCCAGTCTGATTTCTTGTCTGGAACAAAAAGAAGAGTTGAGGACAGTTCTGGGAGGAGTTCTCCAAGGTGAGTGAGATCACAAAGAACAACCGAGGTCAGAGAAGTTCAGTATGTTTGGAAACATAATGAGGAACCTTTTAAGATGCACTTCCTCTCAGAAGGTTGAGGCCATGTTTCTCAGAAGTTAGGATATGTTTAAATTTCTGATATTCTTTAATTTCCATCTATTCTAGCTTTCTGTGATCTTATGAAATTACATACTTTTGTTTTCAGTGTTCATTGTTTTAAACTATGTTCGTGGTACCCATCTTTCTTTCTTTCCTTTTCTGATAAGATTCTTTCTGTTTACAATCAGTTTTAAATTTCAAAATATCAATTTGTAACAAATTATCTAAAATTATGACCCTTCATCTTTTATCATTGCCAAATTTTTCACATAGTCTAAATCCTCAAACTTAGCTTTTTAAAAAAATCATATTTATTTAAAAAACAAATACAAGTGAGACTTAACTCCTTCACTTTGCCATTTCCTTGTACGAACCTCAATTTTTTTGTTTAATTTCAGACTGGGAAATACTACTTCAAACCAATGTTTCAGCACTGCAGCAGGATTTTTGGGTGGTACAGACTTCTAATGGGATACAAACGGTCAGATTAACAAAGGATGTTTGTTATTTTCCACATTCAGAGAATATTAGGACTTCCATTTTAGAAAATAAGCATAAAAGAGGCACTTGACAGAAACAGTATTCACACAAGAGGGAGCAATGTTTGTGGAGAGATACTGTAAGAGTGTTGAATATGGGGATATCCAAACTTAGTATGAAACTTCTAAATAATGGCATAATTATACCAACCAATAGGGCACATTTTCTTGTCAGTAGACCTGTTTCCAGAGCCCTGTAAGGCAAATAAAGACCCTAATTGAATTTTCCCCAAAAGTCATACCTCTTACATTTGTGAGGAATTACTCTGAAAATTATCTCAGTATTTTAGTGTGAATTAATCTTAAATTTTCCTTGTGCAGACTGCGTATTTATTTCTCTGGGTGCCATGACAGATGGTAAGGAACCTGAACATGTCCTTTTCTTTTCTTTTTCTTTTTTTTTTTTTGGACAGAGTCTCACTTTGTTGCCTAGGCTAGAGTGAGTGCCATGGCGTCAGCCTAGCTCACAGCAACCTCAAACTCCTGGCTCAAGCAATCCTTCTGCCTCAGCCTCCCGAGTAGCTGGGACTACAGGCATGTGCCACATGCCCGGCTAATTTTTTCTAATATATTAGTTGGCCAATTAATTCTTTCTATTTATAGTAGAGACGGGGTCTCGCTCTTGTTCAGGCTGGTTTCAAACTCCTGACCTCGAGTAATCCGCCCGCCTCGGCCTCCCAGAGAGCTAGGATTATAGGCGTGAGCCACCGCGCCCGGCCTTTTTTTTTTTTTTTGAGACAAAGTCTCACTTTGTTGCCCAGGCTAGAGTGAGTGCCTTGGCATCAGCCTAGCTCACAGCAACCTCAAACTCCTGGGCTCAGGCGATCCACCTGCCTCAGCCTCCTAAGTAGCTGGGACTACAGGCATGCGCCACCATGCCCGGCTAAGTTTTTGTATATATATTTTTAGTTGTCCAATTAATTTCTTTCTATTTTAGTAGAGACGGTCTCGCTCAGGCTGGTTTTGAACTCCCGACCTCGAGCAATCCGCCCGCCTCGGCCTCCCAGAGTGCTAGGATTACAGGCGTGAGCCACTGTGCCTGGCCCATGTCCTTTTCTTAAAGAACTTATTTATGATGAGCATTTATCAGGTGTTTGTCATGTGCTTAGGAGCGTATTGCAGAAGAGAGGGTTAAAACAAGATAAGCTCCTAGTCCAGTTGTGGTGAGATTAGTTCAGGTGTAAGAGGTGCTGCTATAGCCATGTTATTAGAGGAGATTGACAGTGAGAGACTGTGGATAGAAGCGTTCCTAAAACCACCGAACCCTTGGTTAGACAATAGGAGCTAATCCAGATTTGCATTTTGAATGCTTTTCATTGTTTTAAGTATAAGAAATGCCCTTCAGTACCCTGTATAGGCCCTGGGTCCCCATTCCTCAGTCTCCAGTGAACACTGGTGGAGATGTTACTTGGCTCAAACCAGCATGCATATGATGGTTTAGGACCTGATAACCTTTGATAGTGTGGCTGTGGAGTTCACCCAGGAGGAGTGGACTTTACTGGACCCAACTCAGAGAAAGCTATACAGAGATGTGATGCTGGAGAACTACAGCAACCTATCCTCAGTAGGTAAGACTGGCATTATTCCTTGTAGCTTCCTATAGAACAGATGTATATTATGTACTTACTGTGTTCTAGGATCAATGATGTCAAATCTGAATACACTGGGAAATAACAGAGACACAGTCCCTGTATCTGGAATGGTAGTTTTCAAATGTGGTCCTAGGAACAATAGCATCACTGTCAGTCTATTAGAAATGTACATTCTCAGAATCCACCTTTGCTATCTGAATCAAAAAGTCTGCTTTTGGAGGGCCTTGTCTGTGTTTTAATAACCCTTCCACGTGACTGACTCATTCTAAAGTTGAGAATCACTGGTGAGGTAGTTTTCTCAGGAGAATCAAGATCTCTCTTTGCACTTCCATTATTTTCTATTTGAGTAAAAGTCTTAGTGGTTTTTTTTTTTAAGTGTATTTAAGCCTGAATACGGGTTTCAGTGGTCAGAGAGAACCATTTTCAGTACAGAAAATAGGGATATTTGCATTTTGAGCACTTTTCACTGCTTTACTTATAAAATGTAGCCCCACTTCATGGGAAAGTTTGCTATCTCTTGCATGAATTGCTTCCATTCATGTATCTTTCCCTCGTTACAGGTTACCAGCTTTTCAAACCCAGTCTGATCTCTTGGTTGGAAGAAGAGTTTAGGACAGTAGAGAGAGGCATTCTCCAAGGTAAGTGTGAAGAACACCCCTCATCAATGATAAGTTCAGTATGTTTGGAAGTATAATGAGGAAATCTCTTAAGATGCTCTTTGGATCAGAAGGCTGATTAATTGGACTCAGATGTTTTGGGATATCTTCAGCTTTTCATATTACATTGCTTTGCATCTATCCAGACTTTCCTGTGATGTAACAAATGATCTGTTTTTCTTTTTTGAATTTATGGTTTTAATGTATGCTCTCTCCCATTTTTTTCTAATTTCCTTCCCTGATAAATGCTGTTTCTGTTCACAATTGTGTTTAATTTTCTTAGAATAAATTGCTTAGAAAAATTACTGAATTTTGACCCTGAGTCTTTGACTGCCAAATTTTAGACTGCTCAAATTTTTCTTTGCTTTATTTTTTAGCATGTTTACTATGAAAACAGATACAAATGAGCTTTATTATTTTTAAGTTATTTAACCTACCATTTTGTTGTGTAAACCCTCACAAATCTTTTTCTGTCTTAGAACAGAAAATGTGTCTTAAAAACAATGAGTCAGCCCTTCGGCAAGATATATTTTGTTTCAAAACATCAAGTGAGATACAACCGGTAAGATTAACAAAAGAAATTTCTTATTTTCCACATTCAGAGTGGATTGGTATTGCACTGTAGAAGTAGCACAAATGACATACTTGAGAGAAGTGGCATTCACCCAAGAGCGAGAAATGTTTCCAGAGAGATACCCCATACCTAGCATAAAGCTTCATACTGTAGAGTTCCCACAAACATAGATTTCACCATTCATAACTAGATGTTGAGTTTTTAAAATAATTTCATGGAAATCTACAGGACTTCTTTCAATAATAAAGCATAGATTACATGGCACAAGATTCTTGCAGTAGAGTTCCTTTATTCAAATTGAAAGAAATTCAGAGGGCAGTAATTTGTAAGTGTGTTATGAAAATGGCAGATCATTATCATCATCATGTTTCTGTGTTGGGTGGAATCAATTAAAATGTCTGAAAAAATACTTTATTCATCATTCATTCCTTAATCAACAGGCAAGAAGCCACAGTGGAGGGTGTGACTGTAAACAATGTGGAAATGTTTTCAGTGAACACTCATGCCTCAAGACACACATGAGTATTCAAAATGGAGAGAATATTTCTGAATGTAATCAGTATGGAGAAGACCTTCTTTCTCTGCACAAGAAAACCTCTATTGGAAGGAAACTTTCTGTGTTTGATCAATGTGGAAAATCCTTCAGCCTGACTTTAAATGGTGAGTTCCAGAGAAAGTGCCCCCAAGATAAATCCTTTGAATGCAGTGACTGTGGGGAAACTTTTGTTAATCAGTCACACCTTCAGGCACACAAGAGAACTCACAATGGAGAAAAACTGTATGAATGGGAGCAATGTGGAAAAGTGTTTCCCAACTCCACAAGCCGTCCTGTGCATGTTGAAATGCACATTGTAAAAAATCCCTATGAATGTAAGGAATGTGGAAAAGGCTTTCGATATCCTACCCATCTTGATAATCACATGCGAACCCATACCGGAATAAAACCCTATAAATGTAAGGACTGTGGGAAAGCCTTCACTGTACGTTCAGGCCTTACTGAACATGTACGAACTCACAGTGGAGAGAAGCCCTATGAGTGTAAGGAATGTGGTAAAGCCTTTGGTACATCGTCAGGCCTTGTTGAACATATAAAGTGTCACCCGGAAGAGAAACCCTTTAAGTGTGACCAGTGTGGGAAAGCCTTTGTTTTTTCCTCATCTCTTTTATCACATTTGAGAACTCACACTGGAGAGAAGTCATTTGATTGTTATGTGTGTGGGAAACCATTTACCTGTTCCTACAATCTTCGAGTTCATGTGCGAACTCACACAGGAGAGAGACCATATAAATGCAAAGAATGTGGAAAAACCTTCACTAAGTGCTCATATCTCACTAAACATTTACGAATACACGCTGGAGAGAAGCCCTACGGATGTCAGAAATGTGGGAAAGCCTTCATTGAGCACTCATACCTTACTAGACATTTACGAACACACACTGGAGAGCAGCCCTATGAATATAAGGAATGTGGGAAAGCCTTTGCTGTTTCTTCAAGCCTAACCGATCATGTAAGAATTCATACTGCAGACAAACCCTATAAATGTAGTGAATGTGGAAAAGCCTATAATAGGTTTTGTCTGTTAACTCAACATTTAAAAACCCACACTACAGAGAAGACCTTTGAATGTAAAGAGTGTGGCATATCCTTTAGAAATTCCTCATGCCTTGATGATCACTTCCAAATTCACACTGAAATAAAACTACATAAATGTAAGGACTGTGGGAAAGCATTTACTTGGCGCTCAAGCCTTACTAAACATGCGCACACACATACTAGAGAGACTAGAGAGAAACCTGTGAATGTTAAGAATGTGGGAAATTCTTTCGTACTTCTTCAGGACATATTCAGCATATGAGAATTCACCCAGAAGAAAATGCTTTGAATGTGACCAATGTAGGAAAGCCTTTGCTTCGTTTTCATTTCATATTGCATATTTGAGAACTCACATATGCAATATACGGGAAGCCCTATGTATGTAATGAATGTGGTAAAACCTTCACTGTTTCCTCAAGCCTAACTAAACATGTAAGAATTCACAGAGGAGAGTAACCATATAAATGCAAGGAATGTGGGAAAGCCTCATCGATGCTTGTAACTTTCTAGACACATACAAACTTAACACTGGAGAGAAACCCTGTAAATAAATGTAAGGAATGCAGAAAAGCATTTGCTAGTTTTTCTTACCTTACTGAACATTATAAAAACACTGGAGAGAAACCCTTTTTATGTAAAGAATGAAGAAAATCCTTTCAGAAGTCCATGTGCCTTAATAATCACATTCTTATTTACACTGGGAAGAAAACTTATCAATGTAAACAATTTGTGAAATTGTTCAGTTGTGCCTGTTCACTTGAAGGATAAGAAAGAACTCACTCTGAAGATGGTCCATGAAGTTAAGGCATGTAGGAGAGCCATCGGAATCTGCTCACGGTCCAGCACATGACAATTCACTGTGAAGCTTTCCCTGTTTCCTTGGGTATTATTTAATATGTGAGATTTCACAATGGAGATAAAACCTACTGATATATGTGGGAAAATTGTAGTCCTGTTAAAGACTTTTATGTTCGCCTGTAATCTCATAGTGGAGAAAAACTTCATGAAGGTAAGAAATGTTGGAAAGTAATATTTTACATTACATTGTTCTTCAGCTTCATGAGGTGATTCACACTCAAACTGTTTATGTATGAAATAGGGGAAGTACCTGAAATCCAACAGTGACTTGGCTTTGTGGGTGGTTCTATAGAACTATTTTGAAAATTTGTAATACTTCCCGGCTCATTCCCTGCATGGTATGTCTTTATCCTATAGCAGTGCCACACTTGTCTAGTTACTACACCTTCTGGGTTACAACCTGGCCAAAAGTGGGCCTTCAGGATTCAGACATAAACCTGTTTAAGCAGTGTAGATTGTCTTTGTGGTTTGTCATGTCTTAGGACATGGTGCACCATGTGGCCCACACTGGCCAACATGTGAGATATAATAAAGCTCTAAATGTACCACCTGGGGAAGTAGGACTTACTGTAATGTCAAGCTGTGCAGGGAGGTGGTGGGAACCATGAATGTTCATTCCTTTTGAAGGAATGTTCATTGCCCCAGTTTAGCAAAGCAACCATTTTATATGTCTGAGTCAATTAATTGCTGTAATTGGCACTATGACCAGTTTCTGGGTTTTCATTTCATCCTTGTGCAATGAAAACAAACAAAAAAAAATCCTGTGAATGTGGCTGGTCATGATGTTCTGCTGTACTTGACATCATTACTGGCACTTCCTGAATGTGGCCCTTGGGTTGAACACACAAGCATGACAATGTGGTCATGAGTAGTACAAATGTAAATATTTCTGATGCTCCAGCAATCTTGGGTTATGTCACATATGGCCATTGAGGCTGCTGCTACTGGATGACTTTCTGTAGTACTTAATCCAACCAGAGTAATGATAATCCAGTTAACTTGAAAAGTCCTGAATGGAAGAGATCTGTGCATCTTTGTGTTATATGTTTTTTCATGGAGAGAAGTGGGTTGTAGAGTGGTTCTCCTATGGGTATGAGTGCTACTGTTTAGCTTATCTGCTTTCAGCTTTAACTGTTGTCAGTGACACAAATGATCATCAGGTTAGTCTTAACTGCCTGTGTGGATTGTATCAGTTCATAGACTGTCTTTAGAGGCCTGAAACTTATTCATAGTTGCCTGAGTCAAGAACTTGTGGGTAAGGTCAATACTGCAGATTGGCCTCATCCTGGTGCTTGGACTTATAGTGATAGTATCATTAAGAAATGATACTGTAGTTTCATAGGCCAGACACCACCTGGCTTCAGAAGCTGGTTTCTTTTACTTTCTTTTTCTTTTCTTTTTTTTTTTTTTAATTTTGAAAGATTTAGGGGGTATGAGTGTTTTTTGTTACATGGATGAGTTGTACAGAAGCTGGTTTTTGATTGTCAATATATAAAATGCAGTTGATCTTTGTATTTTGAATTTTACCAGAAGTCGTGTAAACATTCTTTAAAATTCTAGGTTTTTTTTTGTTGTCGTTTGTTTTTTTAGACAGAGTCTCACTTTGTTGCCCAGGCTAGAGTGAGTGCCATGGCATCAGCCTGGCTCACAGCAACCTCAAACTCCTGGGCTCAGCAATCCTACTGCCTCAGCCTCCCGAGTAGCTGGGACTACAGGCATGTGCCACCATGCCCGGCTAATTTTTTCCATATATATTTTTTTAGTTGGCCAATTTCTTTCTATTTTTGGTAGAGACGGGGTCTTGCTCAGGCTGGTTTCGAAGTCCTGACCTTGAGCAATCCGCCCGTCTCGGCCTCCCAAAGTGCTAGGATTACAGGCATGAGCCACCGCGCCTGGCCTAAAATTCTAGTTTTTATGTGTTGTTTTCCACATACGTAGTGCTATCATCTGTAACTAATGACAGTTTGATTTTCATTCCTAACCTTAGATCATTTATGTGTTTTTCTTAGTTTTCTGCCTAAACAAGACTGCCTGTAGAATAATGACTAGAGTTAGTAAAACAAAGATAATTTTGCTAATCCTAATGGCAGATGCTTTACATCTTTACCCATTACTGTATTGGTTGTGGATTTTACAGGGTGAAAGCTTTTGTCTACTTTTTATTGTTTGGGAAGGCTTTCTCAGGCATGGCTTAATAATGTCCCTCAGAAGGAGTAGGACAAAAGAAAAAAAATTATTAAATGCTTTCCCCTGATTCCTCGTAGATAGTTATATTTTCTCACTGATGTCTCTTCTTTACTGGGTACTAATTCCCTCACAGGAACCCCACCCTTATGATCTCACCTAACCCTAATAACCTCTAGAAGGCCTCATTTGCAAATACAATCCACTTGGGAGTTAGGGCTCCAAGATAGGAACTTTGCAGAGTGGGATGGGATACACAATTTGGTCCCTGGTGTTCTATTTTGTTAATTTCTATTCTTTATTTTTACCTCCATTGTAGTGTACTTTGAATTTATTTTATTCTTTTTGTATCTCTGAAATCAAATGCATACCTCATTTTCAGACTTTCTTTCGTATTATATAAGCATTTGAGAGTTAGAGTATCATGTTATTGCTATAGTTGACTCTCCAGGAAAGTTTGTTCATTGCTATTTTTATTATTTTTCAATTATAAATGCTAATATCCATTACATTTTTTACTTTTTTCCATGCTTATTGAGGTATGAATGAAAACTAAAAATTGTACATATTAGGGTATACAATGTCATATGTGATATATGTATACACTGTGAAATGATTATGACAATCAAGCTAATATATTCATTACCTCACGTTTTACAATTTGGTGTCATGAAAACACTTTCTGTTGTCTTATTAAATTTCAAGTATATGGTACATTAAGTATAATCATCATGCTATACCTTAGGTCTCCAGTACTTATTCATCTTATAACTGCAAGTTTGTACCTTTTGATTAATATATTCTGTTTTCTTCCTATCCCCAATCTCTGTTAACCACTATTTTATTCTCTGCTTCTGTGTCAGTTCAACTTGTTTTTAGATTCCACATATAGGTGAGGCTATGCGATATTTGTCTTTCTGTCTGTGGCTTATTTTACTTAGAATAATGTCCTCTAGGTCCATCCATGTTATTGCAAATGGTAGGATTTCATTCTTTTTTAAGGCCAAATGTTCCATTTTATATATACATTCATTGCGTTTTCTTTATCCATTCACTTGTTGAGGGGCACTTTGGTTGTTTGCATACCTTGGCTTTTATGAGTACTGCCACAGTGAACATATAGGTGCAGGTATCTCTTTGAAGCAGTGTTTCCATTTCCTTGGACATACATCCAAAAGTGGGTTTGCTGGATTGTATGGTAGTTCTTTTAATTTTATGAGGAACCTCTATGCAATTTTTCATAATGCCTGTACCTATTCATATTTCCACCAACAGTGTGCAAGGTATTTGTTTTTACACATCTCTTGATTTTCTTTGATAACAGCCATCCTGATGTGTGAAGTGTTATCTCATTGTGGTTTTCATTTGCATCTTGATAGTCTTTTCATATACCTGTTGGCCATTTGTACGTCTCATTTGGAAAAGCCTCTATTCAGGTTCTTTGGTCATTTCTAAATTGAGTTATTTCGTTGCTATTGAGTCACAGTTCCTTACATATTTTGGATGTTAACGATTTCTCAGATATATGGTTTACAAATATTTTCACCCATTCCATAGGATGCCTTTTCATTTTTATTGTTTCCTTTTGTATGTAGTACCTTTTTAGTTTAATGCAGTCTCACTTGCCTTTGATTTTGGTGTCAACTCGAAAAATCATTGGCAAGACCAGCAGCATAAAGAACCTTCCATGTTTTCTTGTAGCAGCTTTATGGCTTCACAGCCTTAGGTTTAAGTCTTTAATCCAGTTTGAATGGATGTTTGTATATGGTGAGTCTTTAGCATTTTCTACATTTAAAATCATCTCATCTGCAAGCAGAAATAATTTTATTTTCTTTTTCATCTGGATACCTTTTATTTCTTGCCTAATTGCTCTGGCTGGGACTTACAGTTTTATGCTGAATAGAAGTGACAAGTGTGGGCACTTTTGTTCTTGACTTAAAGAGCTTTTTATTTTTTTGAGACAGGGTCTTGCTTTGTTGCTCACGATGGAGTGCAGTGGTATAATCATAGCTACCTGTAACCCTGAATTCCTGGGTTCAAGTGATCCTGCCTCAGCCTCCAGAGTAACTGGGAGTACAAGTGCACATCACCATTCCTGGCTAACATTTTTATTTCTTAGTAGAGATGGGATAGTGCTATGTTGCCCAGCCTGGTCTCAAACTCCTGGCCTCAAGCCATCCTCCTGCCTTGGCCTCCCAAAGTGCTGGGCTTACAGGCATGAGCCACCACACCCTGTTTGTGCTTATTCTTAAAGGAAAAGCTTTGAGCTTATCACTGCTGAGTATGATGATAGCTGTGGCTTGTCATATATGGCTATTATTATGTTGCGATACATTTCTTGTATACTTCATTTATTTGGGAGTTGATATCGTGAAATGATGTATTTCATTAAATGCTTTTCCTGCAGCTATTGCAATGATGATAATGATTTTTTCTTTCATTTTGTTATTGTGGTATATCACATTTATTGATTTGTGTTTGTTGAACCATCCTTGCCATCTAGGAATAACTCCCACTTGATCATGGAGTGTGATTCTTTTAACAATTACTTTAAATGTGATTGGATTAAATTTGCCCATCAAAAGACAAGAGTGCCTGACTGCATCAAAAACAACACATAACTGTATTTGCTGCTGTCAAGAGACTCACCTTACCTTTAAGGACACAAGTAGACTGAAGGGATGGACAGGGATACTCCTTGCAAACAGAAACCAAAAAAGAGCAGGAGTATGCTTGTATCAGACAAAACAGTATATCAAAACCTTTAACAAGAGAAAAGGAGGTCACATAATAAAATGGCCACTTCATCTAGATGTACCAATTATAAATATGTATGTACCCAACAGTAGAGCACCTGAATATATAAGGCCAATATTAACGCATCTGAAGAAAGAAATAAAACATAATTACAACAACAGTAGAGATTTTCATTACCCCACTTTCAACAATGGATAGATTATCTATCTAGACTGAGAATAAGTAAGGAAATATTAGACTTGAACTAAACTAAATGAACCACCTATAGAACATTCCACCCAACAGCAACAGAATACACATTCAAGAGCACAGGGAACATTCTCCAGAACAGATTATATACTAGGCCTTATTCAGGTTTCACATTTTGTCACCATTGTCCTTATATGGGGCCAGGATTCTATTTATAATCCCACATTGCATTAATCTTAATATCATCAAGACCCACAGTAACAATACTTATTTAGTGGAAGTATATCATCCATGTATATGTAATGTAATTACTGATACGTTCGAATTTAATTCAGTCATTTTATGCTTACCATTTTTCTCATTTTTTTCTTTGAATTGATCTTTTTTCTTTAATTTTTTTCTTTTTACTTTTGTTATTACTTTTGACACATAATTTTAAATGTTTATAAGGGACAGTGTAATATTTCAATACATGTTTACAATGTGTAATGATCAAATAAGGGTAATTAGCATATCCATCACCTAAAACATTTATCATTTATTTGTGTTGTGAATATTCAAAATCCACTCTTGTAGCTATTTGAAAATATACAATAAATTCTTGTTAATTATAGTCACTCTATAGTGCTCTAGAACAGCAGTCCCCAACGTTTTTCACACCAGGGACTGCTTTCATGGAAGACAATTTTCCCATAGACTTGTGGAGGGGGGGAGGAGGGGGACTCAGCTGATGAGTGGAGGGGGTGATTTGAGCAATGGGGAGCGGCTGTAAATACAGATGAAACTTTGCTTGCTTGCCTGCCACTCATCTCCTGCTGTGTGGTCTGGTTCCTAACAGGACACAGACTTGTACCAGCCTGTGGCCTGGGGGTTGTGGACCACAGCTATAGAACAGTATAATTTATTCCTCCTATGCAGCTATGCTTTCATTTTTCCTTTTGATGTCTGGAATTTATGTGCTGCAATACTCTAGAAACTTTTTTGATTTCTTATAAAATATACAAAGAATTTTGAACACAATTATTTCTGTGACCTAGTTGCTGGCTAGAGACCAGCTAAGAGACTTAAAGACTGGTCTAAAGTCACACAAGGTGAAAGTGCTAAGCCCACAACCAGTAGACATAGTCACTCACTAGCACACAAGCTGATAAATATGCACACATGATGAGCAGGGCCAGTCCCTAGACCTAGATGTTGAAACCCAGAGATATACTGGGATAGATGAGGAATAGTTCCAGATTATTTGCAGGTCTTTCCATTATCCTCTATCTTTGATTTTTTTAGTTGGTCTTTTTTTTTAAATTATATATTTTGAAATATTTGGCATTTTCTGCTCAGTCTGAACATAATACACTTTATACAACAAAATTCATGCCCATGAAGACAAATGTCAAAAATTATTCATAGGAGTTAGATTTTAAGTAATGTTAGGGGAAAACATCCAAATCTGCCTGAATAGAAAAAAGGAAAAACAAATTATGGTATGCTTATTTAATGGAATATTCTCTACAAGGAAAAGCAATAGTTTACAAATTGTAATAGCTTTTGATTCTTGGCACTAAGTCAGTAGATTAAACAACATGGATATATTACCTCACAGTTTCTGTTAGGTGTAAATGTGGACATGGCTTAGCCTGGGATTCCCCTCAGGATCTCCTAAGACTGAAATCAGGATGTCATTCACACTGCGTTCTTATCTATAGGCTAAAGTATCAAAGGATCTGCTTCCGATCTGTGTCAGATTATTGGCAGAATTAATTTTTTTGTGGATGTATTTTGGCAGCTTACATTGTCAATGCCAGCAACATAAGAGTGTGTCTACTGTTTTTAGTTTCTGCCATCTAGAACCCCTTTAAAGGGACTCACCTGATTTGTTCAGGTGACTATCTCTAGGTATCTCTAGACTATAAGTAAATCAAGTCCTCCTAGTGGTATTCCAGGAGATAATCCCTTTTGTATAAAATATAATCTACTGAATAGGAACTTGAATTATGTTTTGAAAATTTCTTCACTGTTGCCACATAATGCAACACTGTTGACATCCTATGACCTTTGTCATATTTTCTTGATTAAAACAAAGTTTATCCCAACAGCACTCAACATGAGGGGATTATACCAAGGATTCACAGGTGCACTCACTAACACAAATGAATCTCACAAACAAATGTTGTGAAAGAAGCCGGATGCAAAAGAATGCATACTGTATTGTTTTTATTTATATAAAACTAGGCAAAATTGATTCCAGTTTAGAGAAAGATGGAGTAAGCATAATTATCCTGTCTATCGCACTGAATGCAGGTGTAAGACAAGGACAGAATGTATGGAGCACCTATTTGAGAAATCTGAAAAGTAAATAATAGCAAGTGGATAGAAAAAAATATTAGATTTCAAACTACCACCAAACAGGCAGTAAATTTACTAGTTTTTCTCCTCCTGGTATCATCTGATCTACACTCAGTGTAGCTGAAAACTCAGAGGCAGACATCAGCACCAGCAACGGGAATTCTAGAAGCAACCCTCTGGCTCTGGCAATAATGCTCAGGGAGAGAGGGAGATCAATGCCACCATGTATTTTTTTTTTTTCTTTTTTCTTTTCTAGTCAGAATTTGACATGGGTATGCCACCATGTATTGTTTCTCCATTTACTTGCCCCCAGCCTCCAGGCATTCTTGTGGCAGTGAGACAGACCACAGCTCTTGAGAATTGGACTGTGAGATAGATGATCCTCCATGTAGTCTAACCTCTAGGCAGAAACACATATAGTAATACAAAGTCTGAAAACAAAACTCACACTGAAACCATTATGCACAGTGTGCAGACTAAAACTTGCAAGCTGAACCCAACTGGGTGACTGTCTGGTTTTTAAAAAAAATTCTATGTTCTCTATAGGACTGAAAGTCCAGAGTGTCATAGCATAATAATCAAAATGCCCTGAATAAAATCCAAAATTATTCAACATACTTGTTGCAGAGCCTCAGGGAGCTGTGTGATAATACTAAAAGGTATTAGAGTCCTTTAAGAGGACAAAATTTGACCCGATAAAAATTTTTGAAAAAGTAATGGCGAAAAACTTCTCAAATTTGGTGAAAGACATAAATTTTCAGATTCAAGAAGTTCAGTAAACCCAAAACATAATAACCCCCAAGAAATCTAAGCTCAAACATAATCAAAGTGCTGAAAGCTAGAGAAAAATTTTGAATTGAGCCAGAGAGTAATGACATTACTTAAGAGAACAGTTCAACTGACTATAGATTTTGCATCAAAAATCATAAAGGTGGGAGGGAGGGGGGAAGGGCATTTATTGAAACCTTAAAATCTGTACCCCATAATAAGCCAAAATAAAAAATAAATAAATTAAATAAAATAAAAATAAATTATCAACAACAAAAAAGAAAACAATATTCAAATATATACTATTATTATTCTAAAAAAATCATGAAGGCAAAGAGCAAATTAAACATGTTTTAAGGGCTGAGAGAAAAGCAACAAGCTTAATATTTTTTTGGCTGGTTATGTGAAGTACATTCCCAGACTTCTGCCCTAGTAGTTTGTGTTTATTACCTGTGTGCAGCCACTCATGCTCTGGATCCAGGTGATGCCAACTGCACACACAGGAGTACTGTTGTGTTTCTGTGTGTCTTACATGTAAGGGGACTTAATGTGAGATGGTTTCCATGAATGTGGGCGGGGTCGGTAGGACTGTGTGTAGGCCTGGATTCACATGCCTCTTTCTTCTTTATATGGTCTCTTTTGGGATTTCTGTCTTAATGAAGGGAAAAGAAAAAGATAGTGGTTGAGATGAGGACAAATTTTAGATAAGTGGGGAGTTGGTCCTCTAAAAATACACTTATTTCAACCAAGAGGACATGAAAGTGAAGATCTCAGCATTTCACATAGAGGATCAATACATTTGGAAATGTGAGGAAACTTTTAAATCTATACTGGTCATAGAGCAAAGTGGTTTAGAGGTACAGAATTAAGAGTCAAACTGCTAGACTACATGTTTTGGCTCTGCCTCTTGCTGGCTGCGTAATTTTGGAAAAGTTAGATGGCCTCTCACCTCCATGTGATCTTTTTGTAAACTGGGGATGAATTTTATAATAACTGTGGTATTGGCTTAAAGACAAAGTTATAAATTAATGGAATAGAATCAAGACTCCAGAAATAGGCCTGCACTTATATGGTCAAATGATCTCCTACAAGGATGCCAGGGTAATGCAATGGAGAAAGACAATGTTTTCAACAAATTACTCTGGGAAAAATGTATACCACATGCAAAAGAATGAATCTGGGACCTTATCCTACACCACATACAAAAATCAACTCAAAATCAATCAATGACTTAAATGTGTAAGACCTACAACATTAAAATTCCTAGAAGAAGGGGGCAGAACCTCATGATATACTAAATTAAAAAAAAAAAAAGGAGGGAGAGTTTCATGACATTGGATTTAACAATGTTTTCTTAGTTGTGGTACCAAAGCACATTGGAAACAAAGAAAAAATAAATTTATCAACATTAAACTCTTTTGCATTTCAAAGGACACTCATCGACATTATACACTTTGGTATTCTAAAATGTTCCAGCAAGAAAGTGAAAGACAATGAGAGAAAATATTTGCAAATCGTATCCGTGATAGGGAACTTCTATACAGAATATATAAAGAACTACTGCAACTCAATGAAAAGACAATTAAATTTTAAAAGGGACAAAGATTTGAACAAATTTCTCCAAAGAAGACACAGAAATGGCTAAAAAGCACATGAAAAGATGCTTAAATCACTAGTCTTAGGGAAATAAAAAAGTCAAAATCATGAGATACCACTTCACTAGGATGGTTAACATGAAAAAGACTAAGACAAGTATTAGTAAGGATGTGGAGAAATTGGAACCCTTATACATTTCTGGCAGTTCTTCAAATTCTTATACTTACAGGTACTGTATGACCCAGCAATTCCACTAGTAGAGTATATACTCAAGAGAAATAAAAATGTATAATGCACAAAAAGATATATATGAATTTTCATAGCAGCATTACTCCTAATACCCCCAAAGTGGAAACAACCCAAATGTATATCAACTGAGGAATAAATAAAATATGGTATATACATATAATGGAATATCATTCAGTAATAAAATGGAACGATCTATGCTACAACACAGACAAACCCTGAAAAAACATGCTAAGTGAAAAAAGCTATTCACAAAAGGTTGTATGATTTTATTCATATGAAATGTCCACAAAAGTCTGCAGAGACAAAGTAGATTTGTGGTTACATGGAGCTTGAGGAAGTACATGGGTTTTGACATCCAAAGGGTTCTTTTAGGGTGATGAAAAGTTCCTAAAATTATGATAGTTGCACAACATTGTGAATGTATCAAAAACATTGAATTGTATAGTTTCAAATGGATGAACTGTATCATGTGAATTATATCTCGATAAAGCTGGTCCATCCAAATTTCAAAACTGAAAATTATGACAGTAGCTACATCATTGGGAGCATAAAATTTTATTTTTGAGACAAGGTCTCACTCTCACCCAGGCTGAAGTGCAGTGGTATGATTCTAGCTAACAGCAGCCTCAAACTCCCGGGCTCAAGCAATCAAGAGCATAAAAAGGTAATATCTATGAAGTGCATAGGGTAGTAAGATCCAAACAGCTACCATTATATTTTTACCACTAAATATTAAAAGTTGATATAAAGCTACTGGATTCATATATAGGCATCTAAAAAGAACAAAAACCATTGTTATGAAAAGATTATGATACTGGCATAAGTAAACATTATTGGCACAGAATCTAGAATCAGATACAGGTATATATACAGAAATTTATTGTTTAATAAACATAGAATTTCAAATCAGTAAGTCAAGGATGGTTTACTAATTCATGGTACTACAATAGCTAGCCATCCTTCTGGAGGGGAAAAAATTGGATCCACTATCCCACACCACATGCCAAAATACACTCCATGAACATGGAAGATTAAAAAGTAATACACTGCAGAAGAAAATTAGGAAATCTGTATGTAATCTAGAGTTTATGGAAGACTTTAATGCAAGATATAAATTATTACCTAGAAATTATTTTTTTAAATGGACTCCTTTGGCTACATAAATATTCTGTACAGCAAAAGATGAAAGATGAACATCAAAAGAGCTACCAATTCAACAAATTCATAAAACATTTGTACAAGAATAATGTACAAGAATTCTTGATAAAATATTATTAAATCAGTGTTAAAAATAACTCTATTAACTCCGCAGAGGCCACCCACTAAAAGCCACAGCAAAAATGATTTCTAGAGAAACTTTAGAACCTTTCTTGCGTAAGTGAAAAAGGCCTGTTATCTGTGCTATTTTCCAACCAGTATGGGAGGCTATGGAACTTACGGTAAGATCCGAGAAATAAAATCAGAAATACATTATTTGAAGAAGAATAAAAATTCAGTGTTTACAAAAGTGTCAGTACGTTGAAAACACAAAAGGTCTCAACTATTAGAGTTTGGCCTTGCGCCCATATAAAGAGAAAGGAAATACAGGCTTAAAGACACAGAAGTTCCCATGGACTGGCACGTTTATCAACAGGGGAGAATCAGTGTAAGCGATCTAGGAACATGAGGGCAGGTAGGTAGAGAAGTTTTTGTGAGCCTTCTGTGGGCAGGTCCACTTCTAGCCTTGCCTTTAGGCTTAGCTAGATTATTATTATTATTATTACTTTTTTTTTTGAGACAGAGTCTCACTTTGTTGCCCAGGCTAGAGTGAGTGCCGTGGCATTAGCCTGGCTCACAGCAACCTCAATCTCCCAGGCTCAGCGATCCTCCTGCCTCAGCCTCCCGAGTAGCTGGGACTACAGGCATGCGCCACCATGCCCGGCTAATTTTTTGTATATATATTTTTAGTTGGTCAATTAATTTATTTCTATTTTTGGTAGAGACGGGGTCTCACTCAGGCTGGTTTCGAACTCCTGACCTTGAGCAATCCGCCCGCCTGGGCCTCCCAAAGTGCTAGGATTACAGGCGTGAGCCACCGCGCCCGGCCCTTAGCTAGATTATTGAACAGGGCGCCGCCGGTCCCACCACCCCTGAGTGTGGGCCCCGCCCCGCCGGTAGCCCCGCCCACTAACCTCAACCTTGCCTCGGGCCTGTTTCCGCCTCCGGCCGCCGGCGAGGCTTATCCGTACGGACGCAAAAGAAAACTAGAATTTCTCCGCGCAAGTGGGCCCAAGGTGGCCGAGCCCCGAGTGGCTGAACGTCAGTCTTCCGGGCCGAGGCTGGAAGCGGAAGTGACGTCAGCGCCGCGCCGCTGTCTTTTCCGGCGCTTTCTTCGCGCGGGTAAGTTGTGTTTTTTTCCCCCTGTTCGTCGTCGGCGCTAACTTGTCTTTGGTGAGGCCGGGTAGAGGGGAGGAACGCGGCTGTGGCCCCGGCCCCTGAGGGGACTTCCTTAGGGAGGCTTGCCCCGCTCCGATCGCTTCCGCCAGGGCCGTGAGTCCCCTGGGAGCGGCCAGGACCCAGAGGCCGCTGTGTCCTTAGGGCTTTTCCCCAGGGTTTATTTCAGACATAGCGATTGCTTCTTCAGAACCCTCCAAAGCAATCTGTGTGGGGTTTTTTCCCCCACAGAAGGCAAGGAATTCCCGCCGTTCGAGTCAGGGTGACGGTGGCTCTGCGTCCACTCGACTCACGGACCTGGCGATTCCGGCCCGACGTGGTGAGCAGGGGTGAAAGTTGGTTCCAGGGGCCTCACCCTCCTGTTTTTGCAAACAGACGTTTCGTCTGCAAGCTTGCTGTTTGAGCGTCCAGTATTTATTTTTGACACATTATATTCAGGTAGAAAGAGAAGGCTACTTTTTTAGGTGTCTGGAATGTGCTTATTGTATGTGAATAAAAACGTTTGTAGACCACAAGTCTCTCTAAATAAAAGCGAGAATATTCCGTTGTTTTTATCATGTGAACTTCCTAGGTTTATACCTCCCCACAGAGCTTCAAAACAGGGGCTCTTATAGGAAGACGGATGGAGGCTTTGAAGTAAGTTGAATATTGCAGGCATGACACTTAAGATTTAAATGTGTGATAATACATTTTCTATAGACAAAGACATTGTCCTGTTAAAACCACAAAACTGTTATTTGAATCAAGAAAATTAAAATAATATTAATGGCTACACTGTTTAAAAAAGTAAGATTCACCATTGTCTCAAAATATGCCTTGGTTTTGGATCTGATATCTATCTAAGTTTTGTATATTGTAGTTTTAGTGTCTTTGAAACTATTGCGGTTGCTAATCGTTCTTTCAGAGAGTCACCCATATTGGTATTTCTGGTGGTATTTAAATGTTTCCCCCATTTCTTGTATTTCCTGTAAACTGATGAGTGCCTGAGTGGTTGATTTAAGACAGAGTGAAGAAATTCAACCCACAGCTGTTCTTAGGGAACTTGTAAACTAGTGGAGGAGGCTGTTATCTAACCAAACAAATAAGTGTATTACTACAAAATGATGAGGGTTTGGGGTGTGTCGTCAGTGTTAGCAGGGCCACAGGATGGTGGTGACTGGGCCAGGGCTCCTAAATCGCCTGGGGATTGTGTCCTGGGCACATGGCATGGACAGAAAACCATGAGGTGCCCTCATACCCACACTGCTGACTACCATGTGGCAGTTGTATCCATCAGGTGACGTCCCCTTCCTTCTGCAGTGTCTATTATTGCTCACAGATTCACAAGAGAAGGACTGCCTTTGAGGGCCAGCTGGAAGTCCAGAGACAGTAGGGTGCTCACCATTGGGTTGGGAATGAGATAGAGAGGGCCCATGTGACTCTGCCTTTAACGAGGTCCTTGGGCATCAATCACCCTTCAGGCTTCCCCTCAGGAGTTGTGGATTGGCTAAATTAGAGAAAACACACACAAAGAGGGGACAGTGTTGGCCATTGGTTCTCACTGTGTTCAGCAGCTGTGGGGTGTGCTGGGTTTGTGGTCACTGACATGAGGAACGAGCGGGTTATATCCCAACAACCACAGAGGGAGAGGAAGTTTTAACTAAGCCAAAGATGAGGGGATATGACTGGGTTTCAAACACCTTATGTCAGGCCAACAAATGGATGCAATCTCATCTTCCAGTGTGTTGGGATCATATTTGTGCCCCATGGGAAAGCTGCCCCTTTGAGGACTAAGATCTCTGAAATTACAGGGCTCTAAGTTGCTGGGATTGGAAGTAAAAGTTGTGCCAGTGAAGTTAATTCTGCCTTCACCCATCAATTCCTGGACCTGTATATTCTGACTTCCAAGCATATCCCTTGTCCTGTGAGACAACATCAGTTTGTTTGTTTGTTTGTTTGTTTTGAGATGGTCTCACTCTGTTACCTGGGCTAGAGTGCAGTGGCATCATCATAGCTCACTGCAGCCTCAAACTCCTGGGGCTCAGCCTCCCAAGTAGCTGAGATGACAGATGCACACCACCACACCTGGCTAATTTTTTTAAAAATTTTGTAGAGATGAGGTCTTGCTATGTTGCCCAGAGTGGTCTCAAACTCCTGGCCTCAAACAGTACTCCTGTCTTGGCTTCCCAAAGTGCTAGGATTACAGGCACAAGCCACTGTGTCCAGCCCAGAATACCTTTTTGTCAGAGGATTGTCTCCCAGTTGGCCCCATGACTGAGATTTCAATATTGTGTGAAGGCCATGACTCCTGATATAGCCTTTTGTGAGTCTGTGGGTGGCAGAAACATAACTAGAAGAAAGGCCAGTCTGCATCCATGACATGAGTTCATGCCAGTGAGAATGAATCTTTGTCACCTGTTATGTTAGAAAAGGACCAGGTGGCTGGCTGGTCCCCTCTAAGGAATGATGCCATATTGGGTACTCAAGGGTTGATTTCTGCTTTCACAAGGTTAAGTACACCAGTAACATTAGCTGGGTCAGCCTTGGCAAGGGGAAGTTCATATTGCTGACCCCATGCATAACCTTTGTCCCTGCTACCATGGACATTTTGTTCATGGGCCCATTGAGCAATCACTAAAGTGGTGGGGAAAATAACAGACACCTTCAAAGTGCATAATTTTTGCCCACCTTATTTCCAATGGGTAACATTTGGTGGCCATTCACATGGGGCACAGTCTGTAGTTTCAGAAAGGTCTATCCATGTAACTTTTCCTAGACTTCTTGTCACTCGTCTCATTCCTCCCTCTTCATTGACCATCCAGCCAAACCATAGGCAACATCTATAAGTGTGTGTGTGCATCCTCCGGCCACCTCTCACTCCACACCCAGGGACAGCCAAATACACTGCTTGAAGTTCTCCCACGGGGAAGAATTTCCATTTGTTCTGTCCTTCAGGGTCAGTGTTCTGCAGGGCTGCAGTGCTTCAGCTTGCCACTTCCCGGTGGCACTACCACATCGTGCAGCCCCATCTGTAAAGCTGGTTTTGTCTTAGTCCAGCAGGACTAAGTGGCAGGAAGCCGTGGGCATGGATTGGGGGAGAGGAGGCGGTGCAGCTGAATCGTTGTTGAGTCTTTGCCACCTGCTCACGCAGTTTACTCGTACTCACCAGAACTGCCCGAGCTCAGTGTCTTAGGTGCCATCTCCAGCGATGGCCGATTACAGCTGCCTGTGTCCAAACTTATGACTAAGTGGGTCAGGCAACCTCCAGTTCATGATGGGAAGTGCAGGCTGCTTGGTTTCTTGATGTCCCATGGCTAGTTGTCCAGTCTCTATCATGTACCCAGTGGTAACCAGTTTCTCAAAATGTCAACTGCAGAAGTTTCCTACAGAAGATGGCATAGATTTACGCCAGACTATGAGAGGTCTATACTGTGAGTCTCCTACTGGTGTTTGCCAGAGGCTCCCGACAGCGTCCTACTGACCATGGATACCTTGAGCATCTTTGGTTCTGTGGGATCATTTGGACTAAATGCTCAAGAGGCTTGTACCGCAGCAAGTTCAGACTGCAGTGGAAGTAAGATTCTCTCGGTCCTTTTTTGAGCCAGGCCCTTTATCATAATCAACCATAGGTAATAGCTAGATTACTGTGATGCTGCTAAATGGTTTCTTGATTGGTAGGAATCTCAGCTCTATGCTCAAGCCCAGAAGTTTGATGAAACCAATTCTAAATTCTGATCTTTGCATGTTTATCTCCAGAAAACATTGTCCCTCTCAGTTCTGTGTAAGACTGGGTCTAGTGAGAAGAAAGAAATCTCACCTCGATTTAACAGGAGTGTAATACAGAGATGGAACGTGAACTCCAGCATATATCCTAGGAGTCGACAGTACCTAAGGACAGCCAAACTCAGAGGCCCAAGACTGGGCCTCAGACATTGTTGGAGATGGTGTCGTTGCAGCCCTACTGGCTAGTGAAGATGTTTACTGGCTTGCCTGGACCGCAGTTAGTCTCTGGGGGAGCAGGGAGAAGCCCTCTGGAGTACCTGGCTATGGGGCTGGTGAGCAGAGGGAACTAGGGAGCCCATAAAGGTGTGAGAGTGAGAGCACTGAGTACCCACATCAGAAGGCCATGGGAAGCCAGTCTGCAGTGTGCAGACAAGCCGCGGGTGGTGCATGAGTGCACGGAAGGAGACGGTGTTCCTCCCACCCTGGCATTCTTTCAATAATTCAGTACATTTCTGGAAGACTCTGATTTATGTTGTGTCATGAACAGTGACTTAGCTATAATCTAGGTATGCTTCACAAGGGTCTTTGTTGTCTGATGAAAATCACCAGGTGCCTTTAGTGAGTCAGGCTCCGTGCCAGGTAAGGGGGAACATTGGTGTCCAAAGGACACGTACTGCTGTCCTGGAGGTGCAAAAACTCTCCGAAGGAAAGCAGATCCCCATGTCACACAGCATGATCTGAGAACATTCCTAGAGGTACATAGAGTTCATTATGATAAAAGGCATTCTTTCTCCAAAAATATGAAACTTCAATATGTGTATCCACCTGTTGTTAGAAGATGTATAAAGAAATATACATCAGACATGGAAGAAGAATTAGACAAGTCCACAATTCCAGTGGGAGATTTTAACATTTGCCTCTCATTGTTTCTTTAAACAATAGAGAAAAATTAAGTTAGGATACACATCTGAGAAAGACAAGTGCCCTGCCTAATGTACCTATACACTGTCTCGTAAATGAAAGACATTACAAAATGCTTATCTGGAGATGTGAAAGAAAGAACTGGAAAGTGCAGGCTGGGTGTGTGTGTGTGTGTGTGTGTGTGTGTGTGTGTTTTCTTGAGCGTGCTGGATTATATGGGAATTTCAGACTAGGATGGAATGACTGCCAGGCACGTGAATGTGCGAATTACGGTCCACTCTGGGTTCTCATGCCTTCTTTCCTTTTCCATGAGGCCTTTATAGGGACCTCTATAGGGACCTCCCCTTCTCTGGGGAGAGGAACATGTTCTGTATCTTCTTTGGGCTTTTGATTACTTGAGTGTATGCGATTGTCAAAATTCATCCACCGGGTATTTAAGATGTGTGTTTGGCTGGACACAGTGGCTCATGCCTATAATCCTAGGGCTCTGTGAGGCCGATGCAGGGAGCTATGATCACACCACTGTGCTCTAGCCTGGGCGACAGAGCAAGACCCTGTCTCAAAAAAAAAAAAAAAGAATCTTGTGTGTTTGTACATTAATTATATCTCATATTTACATAAAGTAAAACACTTGGTGCAGATGCCACTAAAGCAAACACATTTGTGGTCCTGTTCAGCCCAAGGATCCCAAGTTTGAGACCTGTGGTAGTGGTTACTATTTATAGTGGTGTTTCTCATCCGGTGTGACTTCAGGAGTTTAGTCTTCTCATTCATAGAATCCAGGCTGTCGAATTTTTGTGAGAGTGAATTTGGTTCATGGAAAATGAACTGAGCAAGTTTTAGTGATTGTCATCATTCAGATACTATTCTGTACATCAGCATTTGGGCTGCTGTTCTGTGTTTTATTTATTAAAGATTGTGATTAGTTTTTATTAAGATTTTATCTTTTTTGGTTTTTTATCAATTTTATTAAAACTAAAACAAAAAATTCTGTTTTTCAGTCCTACTGGGTTCCTATGGAGCGCCCAGTAACACGCGTGGCTGGTGACTATTGTATTGCATTGTGTAGGTTTAAAGAGACTCTGGTCACGTGTGGAAGTCACCACAACCACAGGAGATCAGGTGTTAGGAACAAACTTACCTGCATCCAAGGCCTGGCCCACCACTTCCAAACTGGATTATATTGGGCCAAATACTAGTGTGGTCTGCATGTAGGTTTTTTCCAATATTAAATAGGGGTAATGATATCCACTGTGTGGGTTGTTATGATACTAAAGTGAGCTAATACACATAAAGTTGTAAGTGCAACTTGTGGCCCATACTACACTGGTCTTCAGTAAATGGCAATTGATGTTACTAATACTCATGTTATAGAGTCTACTGTTTTCAGAAAGTGGCTTTCACATGTGTCACCTGCAGAGAGAAAGCTGATGCGTGAAGTTTGATGATGGACAAGTAATGCTTGTTGACTAATGATTGATGCAAACAGGACTCGGTTAACCCTGTGTAAAGAGAATGGCGGTTGCCTCTGTCCATGTGGACTTGCAGCCGTCCTGAAGGAAACCTGGGAACCAGGAAAGGAGCTTTCCAAGCACATTTAGCTGTCACCTTCACGGGATGGCAGCCATCGATTTGTCCCATGGTAAGTCCTTGTTGCTGCTCTTTTTCAGAGACTGCTTTAAGTCCCCCTGCACAAGACAGAATCCAGTGGCCTGGGCCCAAGCAGCCATACTGCTGGTGCATTTCCGAGGTGCCAATGTGGGAATGCCATGCTCTTATTCAGCCCCCTGGCATGTGTGCTCTGGGAGGAGGCGCTGTGTAGTCCCCTTCATAAATTTTATCACTGTGGGCAAATAAAGAGTCTCATTTCTCCAGGCTTGAGTTTCCTTACCTGTAAAATAAAACCATTTCCCCTTTTCCTAATGGGCAGCATGGCTGACCATCCATTTTCAGCTTTTAGATGAGACAGGACTGCGCTGGCATCGGATAGCACGGGTGTGTGTGTGTGTGTGTGTGTGTGTGTGTGTGTGTGTGTGTGTGTTTTCTTGAGCGTGCTGGATTATATGGGAATTTCAGACTAGGATGGAATGACTGCCAGGCACATGAATGTGCGAATTACGGTCCACTCTGGGTTCTCATGCCTTCTTTCCTTTTCCATGAGGCCTTTATAGGGACCCAGTCTGCCTTCCTGAAGAAACGACAGAGGTAGAAAGGATGGTGGCTGACTGTCTGACAGATTGTTACCAGGTATGCAGAAAGTGCATCCTTTCCAAAATGTCACACTTGCATCCATCTGATAGACACATTTCCTTCTACACTGAATTGCATCCAGAGCCACTTAAAGCAAATAAAACCTCCTTTAAGAACTGAGTCGCTAGTGGAATTTCCCCAGAGAATGGAGCCTGTCATATTGGTGAGGGACTACCTTGAAAGTCATCCTGGTATTTCAGTGTTAACTAATTAATCTACCTTAATGGTCCCAACTGCATATTTTTATTTTGCTGAGTGCTCTGGCACATGGTAAGGGAGATGGAAGTACCCTTTGGTCAGAGAATTTATCCAGATGGTGTTTATCAAGCATATGTGCTCAATGGTATGCTGCAAGAGAGGGAAATGAGATGAGCTCCTGGTCTGGTTGTGGAGAGATCGGAGTATGTGTAAGAGGTGTCATTAAAGCCATGTCACTTAAGGAGATGGACAGTGAGTGAGTGTGGAGAGAGAGTTTCTAGGACCATTGAACTCCAAGGTAGACAATTGGGAGCCCTCAGAACTCTCTATAGGAATTGGCTCCCACATCATTTTGCAGGGAACATTGGTGTGCATATTATGTGGCTGAAGCTAGCATGTGTGTGATGGTTTAGGACTCAGTAACCTTTGATGATCTGGCTGTGGACTTCACCCCAGAGGAGTGGACTTTATTGGACCAAATTCAGAGAAATCTCTACAGAGACGTGATGCTGGAGAACTACAAGAATTTGGCCACAGTCGGTAAGACTAGCATCATTCCTCATAGCCTGCTGCGGAACAGATTATGTCGTATACTCATTGTGTTGCACCATCTGTGATATCAACTCTGAATACAGTGGGCAATAATAGACATAGTCCCTGCCCCGATTAGACTTTATCTACTTGGTGGTTCTCAAAATTTGGTATCGCGTCAAGAGCATGACCATCACTGTGTTTGAAACATACGTTCTTAGTTTCCATCTTTGACGTAGTGTGAAGCTCTCAGTTGGATCTGTTTCCACAGCTATCCTGATGAATCTGATGCACTGTGGTGTTGAAGAATGACAGGTGTAGTTGTTTCCTCTTTTTTTTCTTTTTTTTTCTTTTTGAGACAGAGTCTCGCTTTGTTGCACAGGCTAGAGTGAGTGCCATGGCGTCAACCTGCTCACAGCAACCTCAGACTCCTGGGCTTGAGCAATCCTACTGCCTCAGCCTCCCAAGTATCTGGGACTACAGGCATGCGCCACCACACCCGGCTCATTTTTTCTATATATATATATTAGTTGGCCAATTAATTTCTTTCTATTTATAGTAGAGAAGGGGTCTCGCTCTTGCTCAGGCTGGTTTCGAACTCCTGACCTTGAGCTATCTGCCCGCCTCGGCCTCCCAGAGAGCTAGGATTACAGGCGTGAGCCACTGCGCCTGGCCTGTTTCCTCTTGAGAATGAAAGTCTCTTTGTTTTACTTACTTATTTGGAGAAAAGTCTTAGTGCTTTGTAAGCGTGTCTATAAGCCTGAATGTGGACTTCAGGCGTCAGAGATAACCAGTCTTTTGGGGACACAGATAGAGGTGATATTTGCATTTTCAGCCCTTTGAAAACAATTTCACTACCTTTAATTAAAACTATAATTTCTGAATTGTAGGAAGATTTATCTATCATCTCTGACATTAATTTGTTCCATTAACGTGTCTTTCTCTGTGCACAGGATGTCAGCTCTTCAAACCCAGTCTGATCTCTTGGTTGGAACAAGCAGAGTCGAGGACAGGGCAGAGAGGAGTTCTTCATGGTGAGCATATATGAAGAACATCCCTGGTTAATGAGGAGTTCAGTATGTTTCAAAGTATAATGAGGAAACTTTTAAAGATGCACACTTCATCTCAGAAGGTTGAAGCATTTTTTCTCAGAAGTTACAGAATCTTCAACTTCCCACACTGTTACTCTCTGTCTACTCAGTCTTTCCTATGATCTAACAGTGAAGCATATAATATTATGTTTCTTCTTTAAGTTTACTGATTTGATGTATGCTTCTTGTCCCATATTTCCGCTTTCCTTCTTGATAATATTCTTTGTGTTCACTGTTAGTTTTTAATTAAAATAGAATCAGTTGATAATAAACTATCTAAAAATTTTGACACCATATTCTTATAGTTGCCAAATTTTTGACATTCAGGATCGTCAAATCCATCTTTGTTTTCTGTTTTTGGTACTCTGTTTAATTTGAAAACAAATATAAAGATCCCCATCATTTCCAATGCCTTCTATCTACCATTTCTGTAACCAAACCCTGACACTTCATTTTCTCGTTAATTTCAGAATGGAAAGTGCAACTTAAAACCAAAGAGTCAGCACTTCAGCAGGATATTTTATTGGATCCGACCTCCAGTGGGATACAAATGGTAAGATAAACAAAGGGATATTTCTTTGTTTTCGCATTCAGGGATGATTGGGAATTCTATTATAGAAATTCAGTGGAATGAGAGCTATTTGAAAAAAGTAGTATTGACCCAAGAAGGAACAATGGCTCTGGAGAGATGGTTGGAATATGATTTTAGGGTACTTGAAACCTAGCTTGACACTTGTTTCAGAGTTCCCACAGGCATGCATTCCCATATTTGTAACCAAATACTGTTTTAAACAATTTGATGAAAATCTACGGAAGTTTTTTGTCAGAAAATAAGCATTGTAGTGTTTCTGTCTTCGTATGAATAGAATCTGTTAATGAATTTGAACAACACTTTAATCATTATTTATCCCTTTAACAATAGACAGGAAGCCACAATGGAGTGGAGCTCAATGACTCTAAGCAGTGTGCAGATGTCCTCAGTGAACACTCATGCCTTAAGATACACGAGAAAACTCAAAACAGTGAGAACACGTCTGAATATCATCAATGTGGGATGGACTTCCTTACTCTACATAAGAAAACCTCTACTGGAGAGAAACTTTCTGTGTTAAATCAGAGTGAAAAAGCCTTCAACCTTACTCCAAATGTTTACCAGAGAATGTGTACACAAGACAAATCCTTTGAATGCAGTGACTTTCGGAAATCCTGTATTAATCAGTCACCCCTTCAGGAACATAAGAGAACTAACAATGGAGAAAAACTTCATCAATGGAAAGAATGTGGGAGAGGTTTTATTCAATCCACAAACTTTGCTGTGCAAATGCAAAGTAAAAATTCAGAAAAACCCTACAAATGTAAGGAATGTGGGAAAGGCTTTAGATATTCTGCATACCTTAATATTCACATGGGAGTTCACACTGGAGACAGCCCCTATGAATGTAAGGAATGTGGGAAAGTCTTCACTAGGTCTTGTCAACTTACTCAGCATAGAAAAACTCACACTGGAGAGAAGCCTTATAAATGTAAGGAATGTGGGAAGGCCTTTACTGTTTCCTCATGGTTAAGTCAACATATGAAAGTTCACATGGAGGAGAATCCCCATGAATGTAAGGAATGTGGGACAGTCTTCACTAGTTCTTCTCAACTAATAGAACATATAAATATTCATGCTGCAGAGAATCCCTCTGAATGTAAAGTATGTGGAAAATCCTTTAGAAATTCCTCATGCCTTAATGATCACTATCGAATTCACACTGGAATCAAACCCTACAAGTGTAAGGTCTGTGGGAAAGCCTTTGTTCAGAACTCAGACCTTACTAAGCACGTACGAACTCACAGTGGAGAGAAGCCCTATGAATGTAAGGAATGTGGGAAAGCCTTTGCTAGATCCTCTCGCCTTAGTGAACATATAAGAACTCACACTGGAGAGAAGCCTTTTGAATGTGTCAAATGTGGGAAAGCCTTTGCTATTTCCTCGAATCTTACTGGACACTTGAGAATTCACACTGGGGAGAAGCCCTTTGAGTGCCTGGAATGTGGGAAAACATTTACACATTCTTCCAGTCTTAACAATCACATGCGGACTCATAGTGCCAAAAAACCATACACATGTATGGAATGTGGCAAAGCCTTTAAGTTCCCCACGTGTGTTAACCTTCACATGCGAATCCACACTGGAGAAAAACCCTACGAATGTAAGCGATGTGGGAAATCCTTCAGTTATTCCAATTCATTTAAGTTACATGAAAGGACTCACACTGGAGAGAAACCCTATGAATGTGAGGAGTGTGGTAAAGCCTTCAGTTCTTCTGGCTCTTTTCGAAATCACAAAAGAAGGCACACAGATAAGAAACTGTCAGTGTGAGGAATGTGGGAAAGCCTAAAGGTGTCCCCATTCTCTTCAAAGATGAAATAACTAACAGGGGAGAAGCCATATGAATGTAAGGAATGTGGAAAGATCCAGGTCTTTCATGAACATGTATGAATTCACAGTGGGGAAGACTATGTCAGGGAATGTGGAAGAGACTTCATTAAATCCTCAAGCCTTACCTTACACATCAGAAATCTCACTGGAGAGAAACCCTATGAATGTAGAGAATCTGAGAAAATTTTTCCTAATTCCACAAATCTTAATATGCATATATGAACTCACATTGGAGAGAAACCTTATAATCTTAATGGTATGGCCTAGATGATAATCTCCCCCACCCAAATTCATATTCTCAAACTGACACCTATTTCTTTCAGTGTCACTATATTTGAACATAAGGTTTTAAAGCAAGTGACTAACTTCAAATGAGGCTGATAGGGTTAATCTCTAATTCAGCATCACTGGTGCCCCTATAAGAACATGAAGGAAGGATGCATGTACACAGAAGCCCTTGTGACCCCACCAGAAGATGGTCCTCTGCAAGCCAGGAACAGAGGACTGGAGCAGATCTTTCTGTTCTGGCTTCCAGAGGAAATCAACCCTGTCCTCACCTTGATATTGGACTTCCAGTCTCCAGAATTTAAGCCAATAAAGGTTTCTTGGTTAAGTCATTCAGTCTGTTATTTTTTTATGGCAAGCCTAGGAAACATACTGCAAGGAACATGGGAAAGGCTTTAGGTATTCTAGAAGTTGTAATATTTATGTAGGAACCTGCTATGCAGAAAAACCCTATAAATACAGGGTGTGGGAAAGCATTCAGTTTTTAGCACTTTTTAAAAATGTATGAAATCACACAGGAGAGAAGTTCTGTGAATATGAATGAAAAAGCATTTAAGTGTTCATCAGATCTTAATATTCACTTCCAACTCCTGTGAATGAAAAAAAGGACATAAAGAAAATAGTTTATTTTACTATGAAAGTAAGGAATGTGATCTTACACAACACTTAGTAACTTTGTGGGGACTGAAGCCCCATTATCAAGAATGTGAAAGAGATTTTATTTACTCTGTGTACCCTACATAAGGTGTAAGAACTCACAGTGTGGTGAGGACAAGAGAGAAGACTGCTTGTAAGGCATGTATGTGGGAAAGGTTTTGTTAATTATGCAAGGCTTATTTTACATGTCTAAAATTAATGTAAATGGCCCTAGGAAGGCAGTGGATGTATCACTGCCTTCAAATGTTTCACAAACTATGATAACTTGAAATCTCACATTGGAGTAAAATCCTACTTAGGAATATGAAGAGACCTTATTTGGCTCAAGCCTTAATATCGACATGAGCATGCACATTCGAGTAAAACCCTGTGAATAGAAAGAATGCTGGCAGGCCCTTCATTTGTTCCTCTTGTCTTATGACGTCACAGTTTAGAGCTATGTGAATATAAAGAATGTGTGAAAGCTTCAGAATCTCACAGCCCAGCATGTAATAACTCACAGTGACATCACACAGTCTGTGAAACATGGAAAGCCCTTTGCTGTTATCTCAGGCACTACTTAAGATTTTGCAGTGGATAGAAATCTGGTTAATGTAAGATATGTTGGAAAGTAGTAGTTTTGCTAAATAATGTTGACTTCTCAAGAGTAGCAAAAAAACTTACTAATTGAAAATCTAAGTGTTTTAATAACTCTTAAAAGAAATAAGCTATGTTTTAGAGCAGTTTTAGGTTCACAGCAAAATCGTGTGGAAGGTCCCAAGGCTTCCTATATTCCCACTGCTGCTATACATGTGTAGCTTCTCCCACCACCAACACAGCCCATCAGAGTGGTATATTTGTTAGAATTTATGAATCTATCTAGATACTTCATTATTACCCAAAGTCCACGGATCATCTACACTCTATTCACCCTTCTTTCCCCTCTAACCCCTGGCATCCACTGTCTCCCTAGTTTTACCTTGTTCACAATATCATATAGTTGGAGTCATGCAGTATGTAGCATTTTCAGAATGGCTTCTTTCACTTAGATGTATTTAAGCTTCCTCCATGTCTGTCCATGGCTTGAGAGCTCATTTCTTTTTAACACTGGATAATATTCCATTGTCTGGATATACCACAGTTCATTCATGTACTGAAGGTGATCTCAGTTCCTTCTAAGTTTTGGCAATCGTGGATAAAGCTGCTACAAACACCATGTAGAGATTTTTGTGTGGACATAAGTTTTCACCCATGGGTAAATACCAAGGAAAGCCATTGTTGAACCGTATGATAGGAGTATATTTAGTTTTGTAAGAAATGGCCACAGTGATGGGGACATGTCTATGTCCTTGGGTGTATATCCAGCACTGACATTGACCTCTTGTGTCTGTGACATACTTGGTCCTGGCTATCTCCCTTAGCCTCCAACATTGCTACCCATTGGGTTTTCCATTGGCCACTGGTCTGGTTGGGACCACCTCAGCCTCTGCCACCCTGTCCATTTCTTCACTCATAGCCAGCAGCCTTCCATCTCACTCTCTCACTGTCCCCTCTGGCACTTGTCTCATAAAATGGATGTTGGGTTCCTCAGGGGGCTGAGACCATTAGAAAGGACATTATTGCTCCTGAGAAGTGTGCCCTCTTACAGGGTGTCAGAGCTGAAAGGCAGCTGATGAGTAGAAGAGTCTTGACGTGAGTTCAAATGTTACTCAGGGATGAAGAGTAGAGGTGGGTCTGCTTGCATTGTGTGCAAAAAGAGAAGATGTTTCACTCTTAAAAGCTTCTGAGCTATTTCTGACCCAGTGAAATGTACTGTCATTTCCCACTCCTCACTGTTAAAAGTGGAATCATTTTCATCATTCTTTTGGCTGCATTTCAGTGACAGTGCCTGCCATCCACATCTTTGTGTCACCAGGGCATTTCCTCTGGACACCAGCAACTTTAAGGGAGATAATGAATCCACAGTGCCCAGTGAAGAAGTCATGGCAAAGTGAAGGGTACTGGTGGGGATTTTAGTTCTGTCTCAACGTATCACATCTGGATGGATATCTAGAGTGAAACCCACAGTTATTGGTCAATAAACGTACTGAGACACTCCTTTCATCAGTGTTAAGCTGTGTTCACCTGACTTGACTCTTTGGGCATCAGCGTGCAGGGTGGGTCTCGAGGGCCACGTGAATACTTTGCAGCTCATGCAGACCCGAGGTGACTGGCTTATTTCATTTAGGATGTCTTCAGGGTTCATTCACGTTGTAACACGTTTCAGAATTTATTTTTAAGGCTTAACAATATTCCACCACGTGGGTATACCACATTTTGGGGTGCTTAGCCATTTGGATATTGTGAATAATGCTGCTATGAATATCTCTTCCAATCCCTGCTTTGAATTATTTTGCCTATATACCCAGAAGTGGAATTGCTATATCTTATAGTGGGGGGGAGGGGGGCAGGGTGGGCAGGGGCAGGAGTGTTCCTAATCATGATTCTGGTAATGGCTATTAGGCCTTATAGTGGTCAGCAGCTGTGAGATCTGTTGGGTTTTGGGTCAGTGAAATGAGGAACAAGTGGCTATATATATCACAACTAGAAGGGAAGTTTAAGTCAGACTTAAAAATGGATGCCTAAATAGCAGCTATATTAAACAAATCTATGACATATGGCATTCCTGTCTTTATCCTCAGTCTCTCTTTTTCAAATTAAAAGAAACATTTCTTTTTGGAGATGGTCTTGCTATATTGCCCAGGCTGGACTCAAACCATCATCCCACCTCAGCCTTTTGGCACTATAGGCATGCAAGACTGCTCCCCCATCACCTTTAAACCCTGCCATATCTTGGCAGATATTTTATTCATAGGGATACTTAGAAAATGCCAAAAGAAGGCGTTTTGTTTTATTTTTTGACAGAGTCTCACTCTGTTGCCCAGGCTAGAGTGCCGTGGCATCAGCCTAGCTCACAGCAACCTTGAACTCCTGGGCTCAAGTGATCCTTTTGCCTTAGCCTCCTGAGTAGCTTCGACTACAGGCATGCGCCACCATGCCCGGCTATTTTTTTCTATATATTTTTAGTTGGCCAATTAATTTCTTTCTATTTTTAGTAGACAGGGTCTTGCTCTTGCTCAGACTGGTTTTGAACTCCTGACCTTGAGCAATCCTCCCACCTTGGCCTCCCAGAGTGCTAGGATTACAGGCATGAGCCACCATGCCTGGCCAAGAAGGCATTTTTGAGATGCAAAAAAGTCCTGGTTTTGTCAAAATATAGTAATAGCAACTGTAGCACCAAAGGACTTTAAATTCTGATTTTTTTTTTCTTTGCTGGTAGCTTGATATTTATCACATTCCCTGGGGTATAGTGTAAGGCCTCAAGCGATCAGGGATCTAGTTTCAGACTCCTTTGGCCAAGTTACATGGCATGGCTACGCCTTTGTTTCCCACCCATAAAACGGGCAAAATAAAGAGCCCTTTTTGAAGAGGGAGAAGAAGACCGGGAGCCTTTCTCAGCGCCCTCCCCCTAGCTGCCTCCTGGTCCTCCTCGGTGGACGCTGGAATCTCTCTGCTTGCTTTGCAGGATCCCGATTCCAGCAGCCTCTTTTCTTGAAAACCCCGGGGTCCCGCCCCTTGCCATGTGACCGGAAGCGGAAGTGCACTCCTGCACCCGCGTGCTGCTTCTCTTCCTTCCGGTAGGCCTGGCTGGTCGCAGGTGCTGCCAGGACTGGTAGGGGTGGCGTCCTCGGGGTTGCAGTGGCGCTTCCTCCGCGAGCCCCATGGGGCTGCTCAGGGCGTCAGTCCGGGGAGTGCGGGCAGGGCCTTGTCATCTGCCCCGCTCTGCTTTTCCAAAGCCTCTTTATCCTCCAGGTCCTTCTCCAGAAGGAAGAGCATCTCGGTCGCCCGGGTAATGGTTGCTTCGTCCCCCAGTGGTGTCACCGACCTGGGAATTCCAGCCAGTTTGGGTGAGTGCTGACTGGGTGAATTTGCTCTTCTTGGGGGTGTCAGTTATTTATGCTTGGTAAATTAGGTACAGGTGGAATGACTAGAAACGTTCTCAGATGATTACAGAGCACATGCATCTGGTATAATTAAAGGCATGAGTGGAAGAATGCATATAAATACAAAATTTACACTCATGTAAAAGCAGGACTTCTCAGCTCTATACTCAAGTTCAGTTTACACCACCAAAGTGGCTGTACATTTTGCACTCTGGACCAGCAATGAATGGAAAGTTCCTGTTGCTCCACATCCTTGTCAACATTTGGTGGTGTTGGTGTTTTGGATTTTGGTCATTTTAATAGGTGTGTTAGTAATATCTCACTGTGTTACTTTGCAATCCCCTAGTGACATGTGATGTTGAACATTTAGGCTTGTCATCTATATATCTTCTTGGGCAAAGTGGCTGTTGTCTTTTGCCTGGGTTGTTTTCTTATTGTTGAGTTTTAAGAGTTCTTTGTGTATTTTGGATAACAGTCCTTTATGAGATGTGTCTTTTACAAACATTTTCTACTATCCTGTAGCTAGTCTTCTCATTATCTTGATGTAATCTTTCCCAGAGAAGTTCTAATCTTATGGAAGTCTAACTTACCAATTCTTTCATGAATCATGCCTTTGGTGTTATATCTATTATAAAAAGTCATGGCCTTGGATATAAGTTTTCAACTCTTTTGGGCAAATACCAAGAAGCTTAATTACTGGGTTGTATGGTAGAGTATATTTACTTTTGTAAGAAACTGTCAAACTGTCTTCCAACACAGTACCATTTTGTCTTCCAACGATGTATCATTTTGCATTCCAACAGCAATGAATGAGAGTTTCTGTTGCTCTAAATCCTCCCCAGCATTTGGTGTTATTAGTGTTCCAGATTTTGGACATTCTAATAGAAGTGTAGTAGAATCAAACAAAAACTTGCACACAGATGTTCATAGAAGCTTTATTCATAATTGCTAAATAGAAATTAGCAATCAAATCAAGAAAAGACATGGAAGAACCTTAAATGTATATTACTAAATGGAAGAAGGCATTCTGGAAAGGCTGTATGATTTTAACTATATGACATTCTAGAAAAAGCAAAACTACAGAGACAGTAAAAAGATCAGTAATTGCTAGGGGCTGAGGGGGAGGGAATAAATAGAGAACAGAGGAGTTTTTGAGCAGTGAAACCACTCTGTATGATACTATAATGGCAGATGTATTCCATTATACATTTGTCAAAACCCATAGATGGCACAACACCAAGAGTCAACCCTAATGTAATCTGTGGAGTTTGGGTGATAATGATGTGTTGGTGTTTGTTCATTAGTTGTAACAAATGTATTACTCTGATGTGGGATGTGGGTAGTGGGGGAGGCAATGCATGTTTTGGGGGAAAAGAGCATTTGGGAAATTTCTGTACCTTCCACTTGATTTTGCTATGAATCTAAAACTACGGTATAAAGTCTGTTAAAATGCATATTAAAAACAGGGAAATTACAAAAAAAAAATAATAAAAAGTCATGGCCATACCCAAGGCCACCTAGATATTCTCCCGGGTTATCTTCTAGTTTTCTAGTTTTGTGTTTTATATTTAGTTCTATGATGTATTTTGATTTAATTTTTATGCGGCATGTAAGGTTTGCACCTAGATTAATTTTTTGTTGTTGTTGGTATGTTGATATCCAGCTCTTGTAGTGTTATAGAGACTATTTTTCCTCTACTGTGTTTTTTGCCTTTGCTCCTTTATCAAAAATCAGTTACTACAGGGTGTCCCAAAAGTCACCATACTTAGGGAAAATGGGAAATAGTAGCTAAATGTACCTTTATTTACAAAACATTCATTACAAAATTTTTCCTTTGTATGGAGACTTTTGGGACACCGTGTATATTTTTGTTGGCCTATTTTTGGACTCTGTTCTATTTTGTTGATCTATTTGTCTGTTTTTTTTTTTTTTCCACCAAAACCACATTGTCTTGATTACTGTGGCTTTTTTTTTTTTTTTTTTGGAGACAGAGTCTTACTCTGTTGGCCAGGCTATAGTGCCATGGCATCAGCCTAACTCACAGCAACCTAAAACTCCTGGGCTTAAGCAATCCTTCTGTCTCAGCCTCCCAAGTAGCTGGGACTACAGGCATGTGCCACCATACCCGACTAATTTTTTCTCTATATATTTTTAGTTGTCTGGCTAATTCTTTCTATTTTTAGTAGATACAGGGTCTCACTCTTGTTCAGGCTGGTCTCGAACTCCTGACCTTGAGTGATCCACCCGCCTCGGCCTCCCAGAGTGTTAGGATTACAGGTGTGAGCCACCTCGCTTGGCCTGGATGCTAATTTAAATGGTTATGTGTTTTTCATTTCAAATTTCACTTATTCATTGCTTGTATACAGGAAAGCAATGGACTTTTGTATATTATCCTACAATCTTGCTATAATTGCTTATTAGTTCTAAGAGGTTTTTCATCAATTTTAAAAAATTTTCTACATAGACAATTATGTCATCTGTGAATAGAGACAGTTTTTATTTCTTCTTTCCCAATATGTGTACCTTTTGTTTACTTTCCCTGTCTTTTTGCGTTAGCTAGGACTTCCAGTATGATGTTGAAAATTAGTGAGAAGAGTGGACAGCCTTGCCTTGTTCCTGGTCTTAGAAGAAAGGCTTTGAGTTTCTTACAAGTATGATACTATTAGCTGTAGTTTTGGTTTTTTTGTAGATTTTTTTTTCTTTTGAGACAGAGTCTCACTTTGTTGCCCAGGCTAGAGTGAGTGCTGTGGCATCAACCCAGCTCACAGCAACCTCAAACTCCTGGGCTCAAGCGATCCTTCTGCCTCAGCTTCCCGAGTAGCAGGGACTACAGGCATGCGCCACCATGCCCGGCTAAATTTTTCTATATATTTTTAGTTGGCCAATTAATTTCTTTCTATTTTTAGTAGAGATGGGGTCTCACGCTTGCTCAGGCTGGTTTCAAACACCTGACCTTGAGAGATCTGCCTGTCTTGGCCTCCCAGAATCTTAGGATTATAGACGTCAGCCACCACACCCGGCCTGTAGATATTCTTTTATCAAGTTGAGAAAATTTCCCTCTACTCCTAGTTTGCTGAGTGTTTTTATTATGAATAGATTTTGGATTTTGTCAAATGCTTTCTTCATATCTATGGATACGATCCTTTGATTTTTCTTCTTTAGCCTTAATATGATGGATTTTTCACAAGTTGAACCAGCCTTGCATACCTGGGAGAAATCCCACTTAGTCATTGTGATGGTTAATTTTATGTTAAACTTGACTGGGCTAAGGAATGCCCAGATAACTGGTAAAACATTATATCTGGGTGCTTCTGTGAGGGTGTTTCTGGATAAGATTACCATTTGAGTCAGCAGACTGAGTAAAGAAAGTTTGCCTCCTCCAATGTGAATGGGCATTATCCAGTCTGTTCAGGGCCCAAATAGAACAAAAATGTGGAAGAAGGGCAGAGTCACTCTGTTTGAACTGGGACGTCCATTTTCTGCTCTTAGACATCAGAGCTCTTGGTTTTTAAGCCTTCAGCCTCAAATTAAGAGTTACACCATCATCTCCCCCTGGTTCTCCAGGACTTCTCTGCTTCAATAATTGCATCAGCCAATTCCCATAATAAGTCTCTTATATACCTATATACATCCTATTGGTCCTGTTTCTCTGGAAAGCCCTAATAGGTTTGTAGTGTAGAATTATTTTTATATATTGTTGGATTCCACTTGCTAATATTTTGTTGAGACTTTTGGCATTCATGTTCATTGGCAGTGATATTGGTCTGTAGTTTTCTGTTCTTTTAATATCTTTGTCTGGTTTTGGTATCAGGGCAATGCTGGCCTTATAGAATGAGTTAGGAAGTATTACCTCTGCTTCTGTCTTCTGGAAGAGATTATAGAGAATTGGTATACTTTCTTTCTTAAATATTTGGTAACATTCACCAGTGAACACATCTGTGCCTGGTGCTTTTTGTTTTGGAAGTTTATTAATTATTGATTTTTTTTCCTTATTGATTAGATTGTCTATTTCTTTTTGTGTGGGTTTTGGCATATTGTGTCTTTCAAATCATTGGTCCATTTCATGTAGGTTTTCAAATTTCTGATTATAGACTTCATAAAATTTCTTATTATCCATTTCATGTTCTTGGACTCTGTAGTGATGTCTTTAATTTCTGATATTAATTTGTGTCTGTTCTCTTTCTTTATTAACCTGATCAAAGACTTATTTTATTCATCCTTTGAGAAAACTACTTTTTGATTTTGTTGATTTTACTCTTGGTTTCCTGTTTTCAATTTCATTGATTTTTCCTCTAATTTTTATTATTTCTTTTCTTCCTACTTTGCTCTTCTTTAGACTTTCCTAAGGTGGAAGCTTAGATTATTGACTTAGATCTTTCATCTTTTCTAACTAATCATTTGATGCTATAAAATTTCCTCTAAGAACTAGTTTTTTTTTTTTTTTTTTTTTTTTTAGACAGAGTCTCGCTTTGTTGCCCAGGCTAGAGTGAGTGCCGTGGCGTCAGCCTAGCTCACAGCAACCTCAAACTCCTGGGCTCGAGTGATCCTTCTGCCTCAGCCTCCCGGGTAGCTGGGACTACAGGCATGTGCCACCATGCCCGGCTAATTTTTTTTTATATATATATCAGTTGGCCAATTAATTTCTTTCTATTTATAGTAGAGACGGGGTCTCGCTCTTGCTCAGGCTGGTTTTTGAACTCCTGACCTTGAGCAATCCGCCCGCCTCGGCCTCCCAAGAGCTAGGATTACAGGCGTGAGCCACAGCGCCCGGCCTTAAGAACTAGTTTTATTGCACCCCACTAATTTTATTAAGTTCATTTTCATTTTGTTAAAAATTTAAACTCTTGAGAATTCTTGTTTGACCTATTTGTTACTTAGAAATGTGCTCTTTAATACCCAAGTATTTTGATATTTTCCTGTTGTCTTTCTGGGATTAGTTTCTCATTTAATTCCTTTGTGATCTGAGAGCATACATTATATGATTTCAGGTTTGTTTTTTTTTAAAAAACTGTGTTTCTTGGCCCAGACATGGCCCAGAATGTCTCTCTTGGTGAACAGTCCATGTGAGCTTAAGAAGAATGTATAATCTGCTAGTTTTATATGAAGTGGCCTATAGATGTTAATTATGTACAGTTGATTGATGGTACTGTTGAGTTCAAGTTTATTCTTACTGATGCCTGCTAGATCTATTTTTATAGAGGGGTATGTAAATCTCCAGCTAGAATAGTGGACTTACCTGTTTCTCCTTGCAGTTCTATCAGTTTTCACCTTATGTGTTTTCATGCTCTGTTAGGTGCATAAAAATTAAGGATTGTTATGACTTCTTGGAATATTGACTTCTTTATCATTATATAATATCTCTCTTTATCTCATATAACTTTCTTTGATCTGAAATCTGCTGGGTCTGAAACTAACAGCTATTCCTGCTTTCTTTTCATTAGTATTAGCATGGTATATCTTCATTTAGTTTTACTCTATTAATATATGTCTGTATATTTAAAGTGGGTTTCTTGTAGACAACACAGCGCTCCTCATAGCCCTCTTCATGTAACCCAGCAAGCACAGTCGTATTGCATACACACTCTCCCATAACTGACCTTAATTAATGCATCCTCCATCCCCTGTAGACACTCCACACACACCACAGTACTTACCTCTGAGTAGCTCCACAGACCTTCTATCCATGACCCACAGTTCCCAAACTTCACAGACCATTTTGACCTCCACCAAGCCCCCTTGGATCGATATCACTAACCCCCACATAGCCACATTCCTGATCCCACCTCATATCCCTAACCCCAGAGAGCTGCATCATGACACCAGAGATTCCTCCGTCAATCCCTGTATAATCCCTATCACTAAACCTAAGGAACCTCCATTGCTGACCCCAGAGACTCCTAATCATTATTCTTACAGACCTTCATCACTAGCCCCATAAACCCTCACTAACCCCACTGACCGTCACCTCTGACCTCACACAATGCAGAGGAATGGACTGACCTCATAGCATGGGTCATAAAGACCCCCAGCACACATCCTCAGATGCTCTCTCCATTAGTGGTAATGGCGATGTTAACTTTTCTGTCTTGGTTAAGGTGGTATCTGGTAAGTTTCTTTACTATGTGTTAGTGAAATGTGAGTTATAATTCAAGACTATGTAAATATCCAGTTTCTCTTAAAACCTTTCATCCACCAGTGATTCTTTCCTAGATTAATTGTGAAAATAAGTAATTCAAAATCTAAGCTGCTGGAACTTTAAATTATTTTGAGGCTTAAAGAAGTATGATCATGGGACCTGAGTCACTGACAGGCAGCTGTAACCTATGAAGCTGTAACCTCTGTTTTTATGATTATAGATTAGTCTTTTCCCCCTTAACCTACATTGTTTTGTAAAATGTAAAAGACTAAAGGGTGCTAGAGAAGACCCCTTCTTTCTTTACTGTTGATCTTCATTATAGATTAACTTGCTTGTTTTACACAAAGACCTCATCTTTGTGTCTAAGATGGAATGTTAAGTAAAGTCTTTTAAATTGGAAAAACAATCTGTAATCAAGCTGCTGTAACTCTTAAAACCTTGTATGGGAAATGTAATTCTGCTAAATTTCTTTGTTATCTATTTCAGCTTCAGAGCACTGACCCCATTTCTTTGTTACCTAGATGACTATCCTCAGCTTTTTCTTGAAGGAACTCTTTTAAACTGGATTCTGATCCTTTTGATTTCAGGTTGACATTATAATAGTTGCCAAGTGTTTTTTTTCCTCAACCCTGTTTTTCCTTCTGAATTTCTCATTTGTGGAAGCAGGGAAGGGGAGAAGGAGGAAAGGCCAGACAAAATTTGGTTTTGTTTATGAAACTTTTCCATGTTCATTGTAGGAACATTGGAAAACACCTAAGAGCAAAGAGCATATTAAATAGAATAAATTTTAATCTTCAGAAAACTTTTCAGGTGAGAAGTACCTCTAAATCTAAAGCAGTGGATCCAATTGTTTATATATATATATACACACACACACACACACCCGTGTGGTGGCTCACGCCTATAATCCTAGCACTCAGGAAAGCCAAGGCGGGTGGACCATTTGAGCTCAGGAGTTCAAGACCAGCCTGAGCAAGAGCAAGACCCTGTCTCTACTAAAAATAGAAATTAGCTGGAAAGCTAGAAAATATATAGAAAAATGAGCCAGCCATGGTGGTGTATGCCTGTAGTCCCAGCTACTCGGGAGGCTGAGGCAGAAGGATTGCTTAAGCCCAGGAGTTTGAGGTTGCTGTGAGCTTGGCTGACATCACGGCACTCTAGCCCGGGCAACAGAGTGAGACTCTGTCTCTAAATAGATAGATAGATAGAATTTGTAGCCAAAAGCTACATTCAAGGAGTTATTTAAAAAGTTATTTAAAAAGTATCTAGTTGCCTCCACCTATTTCCTAATATTTTATTAACTTTTAATTACTGTTGAAGTTTTTCAGGCTTTATTCTGTCCCTGTTTAGCTTTGATACCCTGATTATACTGCTCTCATAGATAGCTCGAATGTATTGTTTTACTAAATTCTTAAAGTGCTTCCATATTGTTTCTTTCTCTCGGGTAGAATTCATTAGGTCATCTGTAGATGGGTCAGTGTAGCACACTGAAATGTGTCATTACAGCAAGTGTTACAGCGGGAGGACAAACCAAGCGGTATACAGTCAGAGTATCAGAGTTTATTTCACCAGCAGACTCAGAGGGGCCTCACCACCAAATTCTGAGCATGGTCTACTCAATTTTTCCTACTTTTTTTTAAGTGTGGGTGGTCTGAGGGGTGGGGTACCAGGTGTAAGTTAGCTGATGTTAATATTATGTTGATGTGCCAGGCAATAGACTAGTTGATGGGCCAGGAAACCAGTTAGTATTATGCTGATGTGGGTCTTCTGTGAGTGGCAGGGGTCTCCAGTGCCTGATGCACCGAATAACAGATGGGGGTTTCCCTTATCAATTATGGTGCCACCAAAAAAATCCTACCAAACATTGTGATGTTTCTTTAGGGTAGGTGACACAAGTTGCAGAACCTTTTTTCACATTGGAGGGACTATCTTGGCATCCTCCAAACAGCTGAACCCCAGAAACTTTATGGTAGTAAACCTGAATGGGTCTATTTCCCATCCTCATCACCAAAGTATTTGCTACTTTCTTCTCATCAGATCCAATCAGCATAAAATTGTTAATATAGAGGACAAGTTGTAGGATGTTGTGGCTCTAAGGAATGAGCAAGTTGCTCCTGATTCTTCTTACAAGTTGGTACAGAGAAGATGGCATTAGCTAGGCCAGTAGCTCACATTTATATTGAGTAAGTGAATGATTATTCCACATTAGGGTAAAAGGATAGGCATTACATAAGAATAAAAGGACAGTTTATTAGAAACATATAAAATGAGTACACTTATATGCACCCAATTATATTCCCTCAAAATAAGAGAATTAAACAATTTGACAACCCAAAGTTATACTGTGACATTTTAACATACCTTTCTCAATAAAATAAAGTTTGTAAATATACAGATTTAGAAAACACAGGATGTATCCAATGGATACACCAAAAAGCCCGTTGTATCCAACAGTTGGAAAACACAATGTTTTCAACAATACTTGAAAGATTTATAAAACTTGACCATATATTTGCTGTAATAGTTGGTACTGAGAGTGGTTGTAAGAGAAACTTCTCACAAGAGTGGTTTAAATGAGTTAGGAGTTTATTTTTCTCATCTAACATGAATAAGCAATCCAAGATTGGTATAGCCAGATAACATTGTGTCTTCCTTGGATCATTCATACCCTGTAACTGTCATTCTCTTGGTGTATGTATTTTCTAGGAAAGAAGTGATCAAAGGGCAAAACAGCAAGGAGAAAATGTCAGAAGAAATGTTCCCCATTTCCAGGAGCTTCTTTAGAAGCTGCATCTGGTAACCTCTGCCTACTTCTCATGGCCAGGACTATGGACAAATATGGTCACTCACAGCTGCAAGGAAAGCTGGAAGATGTGTCCTTAAAAAAACTGTTCACAGTACCAACTTGAACAAAACTCTAAGTTTGTTACTTTAAGGAAGAAGGGAGGAATAGACAGAGACAACTAGTTCTATCTGCCACAGTGTGCCACACAGCAAGTCTCCAGCAATTTTCTGTTTGAATCTTATCATGAAGACCATGCATTCTATCCATGATGCAGGTAAACTAAATAACTTGTGGATCCAACACATCTGGATGTGAATTAGAAAATATGTAGTACTTAACTATACTACTACTACATATCAAAACTTTTGTGATGTAAGTCAACCAGAATTTAGTGATATACAATCTTTAATACTTATAAATTAATAAGTTATGGCTCTTTAATGGATGAAACACCCTCTGGTATAAATAGTCACAGAAACAGAACCATAACATTTATGAAGTTTGTCCCATGTAACATATATCAAGAGTTGAAGGCTTTTTACACATTGGGCACAATGGGCTTTCTCTCCAGTGTAAGTTCTATCATGAAGGAGGCATGAGGACAATATACTTTCCATGTAGTCATCTCATTCATAGAGTTTTTGCTCAGTATGTATTCGCTTATGCATTATGAGGTTAGTGCTTCTGGTGAACGCTTTTTTACACTGAATACACTTATAAGGTTTCTCTCCAGTGTGTGTTCTCATATGTACCTTCAGGCAAGAGGAATTCCTAAAGGACTTCCCACATTCTTTACACTTATAGGTTTTCTCTCCAGTGTGAGTTCTCTTGTGCACAATAAGATAAGAGCCTGTGCTGAAGGATTTTCCACACTGATTACACTCGTAGGGTTTCTCTCCTGTGTGAGAACGTGTGTGTTTCTTAAGGGAAGACTGATCAATGAAGGCTTTTCCACAGTCACTGCATTCATAGGGTTTCTCTCCAGTGTGGGTCCTCACATGTTTCTGAAGGGATGAAGGAACAGTGAAAGCCTTCCCACATTCCTTACAGTCATAGGGTTTCTCTCCAGTGTGAGTTCTTTTGTGCACATTAAGATGAGAGCTCTGACTAAAGGATTTTCCACAATGATTACACTCAAAAGGTTTCTCTCCAGTGTGAGATCTCATGTGTTTCTTAAGGGAAGATTGAAAAATGAAGGCTTTCCCACAGTCACTGCATTCGTAGGGTTTCTCTCCAGTGTGAGTTCTGACACATTTCTGAATGGACGAAAGGTCAGTAAAAGCCTTTCTATGTTCATTACATTCCAAGCTCTCCTTCTTGGTATGTATTTTTCTGTAGACACTAAAGGAGGATCTTTTTCCATCATCACTGCATTCACTGAGTTTCTCTCCAGTAGGTATTTGCTCATTAACTGAGAAGGATGAGTGTAGGCTGAAGGACATCCCACATTCATCACACTCGTGAGCCTTTTCTCCCGTAAGCTTTCCTAAGTGTTTCCTAAAGGATGACTCTTGATTGAAAGCTTTTCTATAACCATTAAATCCAAGACTTTTCTCTCCATTTTGAGTACTTACATGACTACTAAGACTTGAGAGATGTCCAAAGACTTTGCCATATTCTGTATATTTATGGAATGTCTCTCCCTTGCAATATCTTGTACAAAAAAGCTGAGAGTTCTTTCTGAATTTTTCAGAATTATTACATTCCAGGGGTTTCTCACCAGGTTGAGTTCGTGCCTGTTGAAGAAAGAGTAAGCGATGACTAAAGGCTTTGTCACTTTCATCACATTCATAGGAACTCTCTTCTGTGTGGATTCTGTCATATATAGGAAGCACAGGATTATGACCAATGTGTTTATTATTTTCAGTGTGTGTATGATTTCTGCCCTATTCGTTTTTCCAGGTTGAATAAGCTCTGTGTTCTAAGGCTTTACTGTACTACTTCCCAATAAAGGGCTTCTTAAATACAGAGTTTTCCTATTAATGATAAGTAATAAATTATGTGTTAAATACTTAACACTGGAATCATATTTAAGTAAATGTTTACTTGTGGTTTTCTGTGAGGCAGCAAGTCTTAAACTTGCTCTAGAGACTTCTCCAATTATGGGACAGTCATAAATTTCTGATGAAAGCTTGGTGCCCCAACTCTCTTTAACTCACTGAAATCCCCAGACTTCTGTAAAGAACCAGAATCATTCCTAGTCTTACCATTTTTATGCTGTTAGGTGCTTTTCCCCCAGGAATATCCTGCAGAGGAGTTGCATCTTTTAATTTGAGTAGAGTTTCCCAGTCTGAAAATGCACAGGGAAAAAATTTGTAATTATTGCAGGAAAAGGCTGGGATGAAAGAAAAAAGGATACAGACCCTATTAATTTGCTGTCAAATAATAAAACTAAATAGAGGATGAAAAAGTGACAGAAAACCGCAAGTAGTGACCCAAAGAATAATTTTAGAAGTTTGGCCCTGGGAAGAGCTACCTTTGATGGGAACAAGCAGTGGATATGGGAGATAGTTCGGATTCTGGAGGCTTGGAAAAAAAAGGGCATTACTGGGAAAGCAATATAGGAAAAGCTGAACAAAAAAAGCATTCACAAAAATGTACTCGTAAAGGAAAACTGCTGTTCTTTCTCTGACAGTGAAAGCTTGAATGACTGAATAGGTGTAAAAGAGGAGAAGGAAGGCTTACATTAAGGCCTCAACCTTCTTTTTCCTACTGATTGACATTCCTAGACATACTAATCCTCGCTGGCCAAAGGCTGCTGCACACAGTGATTCCTTTCTGCCCAGTGCTCACCTGTACAGGCACCTTGGAGAATTTCTCTTTCCTCTGTCCTCAGCTCTTCATTATCCACCTTGGAGATCAGACTGTGTTTGCAGAGCTGATACCCTGTTTATGAGGAAAGACACATGATGTGGCAGGACTGTGTGGAATAAAGAACACATTCCACAAAACTGATTCTCATACTTTGGTCTTAAAGCATCCTTACCATAGTCAAGTGCAACTTTAGGATCAGCAACACAATCAGAGCAGTGCTCTTTCACAAGGACCAAAAAGCAAACATTCCATTCCCCATATGGAACTGCCCCAACCCATGCCCAAGACAAGACACGGATAGCGAATTACTCAAAGCTCTTAATGACAGAGACAACAAAATCAGTGCATTTTCTTGGAAAGCCATTAGACTGCCCCACTAGGGCAGGGACCATTCATTTTTTGTTTGCCACTGTACTGCCATTCTGTGAAGCAAAACCGGAGCAAAACCCTGCAGTTGGTTTTTGAAAATATTACTTGTTGATGTTCTTAGTGTTACAATTAATAATGACAATTACAATTAATAATTAACTCTAAAAATGTGGATTCAATTAATACAAGTCAATAAACTTTGTTTTTCATTAAATTAGAAAGGATCATACTGTTTTCAAAGTTTTGATTCTATTTTCATAATAAAACATTGTGACCCCAAGGAAAAAAATTTATTTTCTAGCGTGGCAGTCAGTGTATTAAGGTACAAATAAATGGGCTAAACTCTACAGTATAAAAGGAAATATTCTTGTGTTAAGATAAATTCCAGCTCTATGCTGTTTCGTTAGATGCACTGAAACCTACAACAACACAGAAAGACTGAGTGTCAAAAATAAAGAATTTAATTCCCGGCCCATGCACAATAAAATTTAAAAAAATTAAAAAGACCAGTTGAATATTAAGCAAAATAAAGTTGTTTGGCTAAATTTCAGACATTTTAAGACAAAAGGCACTGATATTAGGATAGAGGTAATGATATTAGGATACCAGGTTTGATTAATCAGGAAGATATAAGTGGTTACAGGGTTGTATACAATAAAATAGTGTCATAACATTTATAAAGCAGAATCTAGAAGGAGAAATCGGAAAATCTGCCATCACTGTAAGAGACTTTAAAACACTGCTGTCAGTAATAGAGCATAAGAACAAAAGAGGATATGAAGATTTGAACAGTGCACTGAACAAGTGTAACCTACGACACACACTTAAGAGACACTACTGGGCTGGGTGCGGTGGCTCGTTCCTGTATTCCTAGCACTCTGGGAGGCTGAGGCAGGCGGATCGCTTGAGGTCAGGAGTTCAAAACCAGCCTGAGAAAGAGCAAGACCCCATCTCTACTAAAAATAGAAATAAATTAATTGGTCAACTAAAAAATATATAGAAAAAATTAGCTGGGCATGGTGGCATATGCCTGTAGTCCCAGCTACTAGGGAGGCTGAGACAGGAGGATCTCTTGAGCCCAGGAGTTTGAGGTTGCTGTGAGCTAGGCTGACGCCATGGCACTCTAGCCTGGGCAACAGAGTCAGACACTGTCTCAAAAAAAAAAAAAAAGAGAGACACTACTGAATAAATGGAAGATACATATATTCTTTTGAAGCACATGTGGAATGTTTACAAAAATTGACCACATGGCTATACTATAAAGCAGTCTTTAAATCTTTCAAGGATTTGCTATATAGACATTTTCTCTGACCACAATAAGTTAATAACAAAAGAAACTTATTATGGCAAACCATATGTGACTACCGTTTTTGTAGTTTAAAAAAACATGGTGGAATATTAGCAGTTTTATATGGTTCAATCCACAGAAAAAAGCCACACAATTGGAATTTAGAAAACATCACAGTTATGAATAACTTATGGTTTTATAAAAGAAATTAGAATATACATAATACCATGGTTATTGATCATTTCTAGGTACCAAGACTTGCAGGATAAAACTAAAAGGAAAAACGTAAGTTTTATATGTTGTATTAGAAAAGTGAACTTAAAAGTTAATGACTGAAGTTTCTAACTTAAGAGGTTAAAAAAGGAATAGCAAAAAGAATATGATGAACTAGAAAACAGTAACAGGATCAGCCAAGCAAAAAACTGGTCCTTTGAAAACGAACAGGGAAAGAATCAGGCAAAAATTTTTCAAGACAAAAGGGAGAAAAATAATGTAAGTATAGATGTTGCAGAGATTAAACAAATATTATGAATAGTTTTATGCCAACCAAATAAGCAACTCAGGAGATAAATCAATTCCTTCAGAAATACAACTTACCAAAACTACACAAAAACAAACAGAATAGTCCTATAATAATGACAAAATGAACTAGATGATGATGGCTGTATATCATGGTGATACAATTAATGGCCCTGCATTGCACATTTAAAATGGCAAATTTTGCTTTATGTATTTTTACTACAATTTTTTAAATATACAAAAAAAAAAAAATCTGGATTGTTGCTGATTCCTTCAGAGAGGCTCTAGGTCTCCCCTTTCCCAGTAACTCACTGCCCAAATTCCTAAAAGAAAAACCCCAAAACTAGATGTTTAAATTTTCTTCACAAAGACCACCCCAAAAAAAACCTCAACCTTCCTCCCCCACAACAAAAAACACACCAGGCTCAAAGGCTTTATTGGTCACTTATGCCATTCAAAGTAAGAATTCCAGTCTGAATGAAAATGTTCCAGAGATTAGACACATAATGAAGACCCTGGTTACTTCTATGTAATTGGTCACTAAGTGTAAATGTAGGTAATAATTTATTCAATCTATAAGGCAAGAACTAGGAATTTGGAAGGTTTTGTTTAATTTAGCCTTTATGCAAAATGCCAGAATTATGCATGATTCAAAATGTCATGTTTATATTTGTGATTATTCTATTACAGTAGCTTATACAATATTACCACAGGAGGGAAAAATGGTCACTTTTAAAGTAATTTCACAAAATAGTGTGACTTATCAAAAGGATTACCCTGATTAAGAGTATAAACAGAAGAAGAATATTCTTTGAGATTGGCATATTCATATCAAACATGACAAGGCCATTGTAAGAAAACAAAACTATAGGCAAATTCCAATAAACATGGATTCAGATATTTTAAAGAAAATAAGTCCAATAAATACAACAGAATCAAGTAGGGTTTGCCCCAGTAATGTGAGAGAAGCTTACTATTAGAAAATCAATCAACATAATTTTCTTTGTTAACAGACCATAGTTAAAAACCTCTATGATCATCTCAATGATAGAGTAAAAATGATAAAAAAATTATCACAATTTTAAAAATAACTTAAAATTTTTTAAGCCTGAAAAATGTTATGCTGCATTTAAATTCAGCCAACTGCATTTTAAAAAGACAACTCGAAAGATGGGCAAATGATCCAAATAAACATTTTTCTAAAGAAGCTACAAAGGTCAACAATAGCACACAAAAAGATACTTAACAGCATTACCAATCAGGGAAATAGAAATCAGCAAAACCACGATAAGATACGTCACACCCATTAAGATGGCCATAAATAAAAAGAGAAATAAGTGTTGGTGATGGTGTGAAGAAACTGTAACTCTTATTTTCTGTTGAGAGGAAATTGAAATTTTATAGCCACTGTAGAAAACAACCTGGCAAATTGCCAAAACTGTAGATTTATGAATGAGCCATTCCACTGCTGAGTAGATATACCCAAGAGAAATGAAAACATATATCCACACAAAAACTTGCACACAAATATTCACAGCACCAATATTTATAATGGCCAAAAAAGGGAAGCAACCCAAATGTCCATCAATTGATGAATGGATAAAATATGGTATATCCATACAATGAAATATTATTTAACAATAAAAAAATACTGATGCACACTACAGATAAACCTTCAAAGTGTTATGTTAACTGAAAGCAGTCACAAAGGACCACATATTATATGACTTCATTTATATGAAATGTTTAGAATAGGGACATCCACAGAGACACAAAGCCTCTTAGTAGTTGCCAGGGAATGAAGTGGGGAGTGACTGCTGATGATTATAGGGTTTCTTTCTGAGGCAATAAAAATGTTCCAGAATTAGATGGTGGTGATGCCTGCACAAACTGTCAATATACCAAAACTGATTTATACACTTTAAATGGATAAAATAAATGTGTTATCAGTAACAGTTATAAAAATAATCCTGGCAAATGAGGAAAAGAGAAGAGAATGTCCTTAAACTTAGAATGTCATCGAAAACATATGACAAACATGTAAGTAGTGATAAGCAGAGAGCCTTTATCCTGAGACCTGGAAGATCAGGACAGCTCCTTCTAATCTTTAGAGGTCGTAGGCAGTATGGTAAATTTGGAAGGTTGGGGAGAACGACACAATAGGTTGTAAAGGAAGAATAAACCGTTATTCACAGATAACACAACAGTATGTAAGTATCCAACATAATCTACAGGTAAAATGAAAATTAAAAGAGGCCTGCAACCTTGCAGGATACAAATTATACACTCTGAGGCCTCAAAATAGTACAAGTCCCACGGAATGGGGGCAACTGGTAATATCTAGGAATATTACACATGCATTTATCCTTTGACCCAACAACTTTACTTCTAAAAATTGACCCTGATAACCTTAGTCCATGAACATGAGGACCCACATATAAGTCCATTCAGATGGGAACTCAAACGTCTATTCAGCACAAAGATGCAGCCATATAACAGAGGGGAGAAAAAAAGAGGGAAGATCTCCCTGAACTGATAGCGAGCATACCAAGATACTGCAATAACACAGGAAAGCAAGGTACAGGAAACGGCATTTTTCTGAGGGAATAATGGTCTGATTTTGGGGAGACTTGTAAAGAGGAAGAGTACAGAGGATGGGGAAAGGCCCTGTGATGCACCCTGACTGCTTTAACCTACTGGCCTCCTCCAGAGACAAACACCTGGAATAGCCAGTCCCGGGCTCTAGAAAGAAACTCTGGCTACAAGAGGCCCCAGATGGGAAGCAGTAGGTGAGGTCGGAGGAGGAAGAGCCCCTCCTTCAGAACTGCTGGGGCTGCAAAGCACACCCTTATCCCTTCCCCTCCATACTTCCACTTCTAGTCAGGAACCGTGTGGGGTAGACTCTTGAGCTGACGCCTTCAACAGAAACGCATATGCTCAACATCACTAGTTTAAGGATGCACTGAAAAGCAAACCTAAATAAAAATTTGATTTTTTTTGGCAGTATCAAATTTTCTTGTATGCAATAAGTAAAAAAAGCTGTATCCCAAAACTTTTATAAATTTCTTACTCCTTTAGATTTTATTTAATAAAATTTTTCTAACAAAGATTTTCAATTAAAAAACCTTTTAAGATTTTTATCTTAAACCCTGCAGTTGGTTTCTGAAAATCTTACTTGTTCTTAATGTTACAATTACCATTGACAAATTAACTCTAAAAATGTGGATTAACTTAATAGAAGTCAGTAAACTTTTTCACTGAGTTAGAAAGGATCGTTTTGTTTTATAAATGTCCAGTATATATTTCTCCAGTGTGACTTTTGTAAGTACAGCAAATTAATACTAGGCTTAACAAATAAAGCCCTTTCTACCTTGCCTACTGTCAGTTCCTCTCCAGTTTGAATCACATTTCCTAATGACAACGAACAATCAAGGGCTTTCCCACATCCCTTTCACTCATGGGATTTCTTAGTAATGTGCTTTTACACTGTGCCAAAGCAGAAGATATAAACAAAAATCTTCGCATTTCCTAAATTGATAGGATTCTTATTCAACTGTGATCTTACAGGTGTTATGTAGGTATAAGGCAGAGTGAAATGTTCCAATGCATCCCTACATCCAGAGGACTTGCATTTACATCCAGTGTGCTCAGAAGTTCAGCAAGACCAGAGGAAAATAAAGGTTTTGTTTCTTTTGGAGACAGGGTCTCACTGTCATCCAGGCTGGTGTATAGTGGCATGATCATAGCTCACTGCAGCCTCACATGCTTGAACTAAAGCAATCCTTCTCCCTCAGCATCCTGAATAGCTGGGACTACAGGAATGTATCACCATGCCCAGCTTTTTATTTATTTATATGTGCGTGTGTGTATATATAATTTGTTATTTTGTAGACATGTTTCACTATATTGCCCAGGCTGATCTTGAACTCCTCACCTCAAGCAATCCTCACTCCTTGGCTTCCTGAAATGCTAGGATTATAGATGTGAGCCACGACATCTGGCCTAAAAGTATGTTTTCCATCCTTCCCACAATCATACTGTTTCTCTCCAGCATGAGTTCAAACAGACTCAAACTGTGAGGGTCAAATGAAGGTTTTCTTACATTCCTTAGACTCACAGTTTGTGTTCTAGGATGCAGACACACAAATGAGGCCTGTGGAACAGGCCAAGGCTTTCCCACGTTCCTTACAGCCATATGGCTCCTCTTCTTTCTTGAGATTTGAGACACCAGGGATAGCTTCCCATATTCCTTATGAATGCGTACATTCCCAACATGAATTAGTACATGCTCAGTAGGTGTGAGAAAGTAGTGGCTTTCCTAGATTCTTTCCAAGCGTAAGCTCCTCTCATGTGTGAATTCTTATACATTCATTAAGGCATGACGACATACTAAAGGTTTTCCCTACATTCCTTATGCATGGCTTCTCCCCACTGTGAGTTCTTAAAAGTTTACTAACATATTTAGATCTAGTAAAGGTTTTCCCACATTCCTAACACTCAAAGGGCCGTTCGCCAGTGTGAGTTCTCATGTGTGCTGTAAGGCCTGATGAAATAGTAAAGGCTCGTCCACAGTTTTTACATTTATATGGTTTCTCTCCAGTGTGTGTTCTTCTATGTTGACTAAGGTGTGAGGAGTATCTGAAGGCTTTCCCACATTGCTCACACTCAAAAGGCCTTTCCACACTATTACTTCTTAAGTGCTGAATTAGAAATGAGGATAGGCCGGGCACGGTGGCTCACGCCTGTAATCCTAGCTCTCTGGGAGGCCGAGGCGGGCGGATTGCTCGAGGTCAGGAGTTCGAAACCAGCCTGAGCAAGAGCGAGACCCCGTCTCTACTATAAATAGAAAGAAATTAATTGGCCAACTATTATATATACAAAAAATTAGCCGGGCATGGTGGCGAATGCCTGTAGTCCCAGCTACTTGGGAGGCTGAGGCAGGAGGATTGCTTGACCCAGGAGTTTGAGGTTGCTGTGAGCTAGGCTGACGCCATGGCACTCACTCTAGCCTGGGCAACAAAGCGAGACTCTGTCTCAAAAAAAAAAAAAAAAAAAAAAAAAAATGAGGATTGAATAAAGGCTTTCCCACACTGCTTACAGTCATAGGGTTTTACACCAGGGTGAGTCTGCATGTGACTTTTAAAGCAAGAGGAATTACTAAAGGCTTTTCCACATTCCTTACATTGATAAGGCTTCTCGCCAGTATGAGTTCTCATATGTATAGTAAGATGGGAGGAGCTGGCAAAGGCTTTTTTACATTCCTTACATTCATAAGGCTTTTCTCCAGTGCGAGTTCACCTCTGTTTTATAAGACCCGAACAATCAGTGAAGGCTTTTCCACATTTATATGACACTCATATGGTTTTTCTCCAGTGTGAACTTGCATGTGAATGTTAAGTTTTGAGAAACAAACTCTTTGCTACATTCCTTGCAAACATAGTGTTTCCCTCTATTGTTAAGTCTTACATGTTTAGCAAGACCTTAGGAATAAGCAAAAGCTTTCTCAAACTTCTGACATTCCATAGGCATCATTCTACTGTGAGCTCTTAAATGTGGAGTAAGATATGAAGATGGAGTGACAGCTTTCCCACTTTTCTGACATTCATAGGGTTTTTCTCCTCTTTGAGTTTGCATGTGTACAAAAAGGCCTACAGAATGAGAAAAGGCTTTCCCATGCTCCTTAAAAACATAAGGTCTCTCTCCACATGAATTCTTATACATTTACATTCCCTAAGGTGTGAGGAGGAAAGTAAGCCTTTTCCACAATCATTGCATTTATACAGTTTCTCTTGAGTGTGAGTTTTCTTGCAAACCAGAATAAGTGGATTTTGGCTGAAGGCTGTTTCACACTGATTACATTTAAGAAGTTCCTCTCCAGGCCGGGCGCGGTGGCTCACGCCTGTAATCCTAGCTCTCTGGGAGGCCGAGGCGGGCAGATTGCTCAAGGTCAGGAATTCGAAACCAGCCTGAGCAAGAGCGAGACCCCGTCTCTACTATAAATAGAAAGAAATTAATTGGCCAACTATTATATATACAAAAAATTAGCCGGGCATGGTGGCACATGCCTGTAGTCCCAGCTACTCGGGAGGCTGAGACAGAAGGATCGCTCGAGCCCAGGAGTTTGAGGTTGCTGTGAGCTAGGCTGATGCCAGGGCACAACAGAGCAAGACTCTGTCTCAAAAAAAAAAAAAAAAAAAAGAAGTTCCTCTCCAATATCGGTTTTTTTATGTAGAGTAAAAGAGTGTTTTGTGAAGGCTTTTTCACACTGATTACACTCACAAGTTTTCTTTCTAAAGTAAGTGTTCCTGTGAGTCTTAAGGCATGAGTGTTCACTCAAAGCTTTTTCACATCGGTTAAACAGTTCCTCTTCAACGTGGTTTCTCTCCTGTTGAAGAAGAGATTAATAACTTATAAAAGTTGTTTCAAATTTATTTCAGAGATTCCCCTCTTTACCCGGAATTCATCTATAGAAAATAAATTAGTATGATTGAAGTTTTTTGGTTTTTTTCTACCATTTTCACTGCAATGCATGGTTCCAGACCTAAGTGCCTTCAAATAGAATGAAGTGACTATTCTGTTGGAAAGTTCTGTTATATTCTTTACTTTCACTGGGCTCCTAATAACAGCCCAAGACCAAATTATTTATCTAAAACTTCTTATAAGTTAGCTACATGGGATTGTTTAGTTGAAGAAAATTGGTAAAGAAATATATTTTGAGGAATGCTTACAGTGATTGTCAAATTCATGATGCTCAGAGTCTGTCTGAGAGATGGGTTTTTTTGAGGTGAATAAGACTAGTTTCAATTATTTCTCATAGTTATTGTGCAGATTTTCTATTTTATGGAATTTCCAATCTTCCTCTAATGTGGAAGGCAAGAAATTATATCTTGTGAATCTTACCATTTCCACCACATTGGATGTTTTCCCCTGCAAAAAATTCTGCTGAGGTGCTGACCATTTGGTATTAATACAAATCTCCCAATCTGAAATAAGATGAAAACAAAATTTAAGTTCTTAAAGAAATAAATTATAAAATAAAAATGTTAATTAATGCAAGACCAATGCATATATATCTTCAAACACTGCATTGAAATATAGTTTTTTAAAAAAACAAGAAAAAAAGGTAAACAGATTGAGAAACTTGGCTGTATAAAGAGCTTGGCAACAGTAAGGTGCTGAGGTCAAACTGGTAGGTGATTTACCAAGAAATAAGTCTCTAAATGTTGAGACTAATAGTGAACAAAAAACAGGCATAGCCAGGGAAATAAAGTTGACAGGAAATGGAGAAAGAGCTAAATGCAAATGACGAATTTAAAGAAGAAATGGGAACTATCTTATTGGCAGGCCAAAAGAAAGTTTCAAAGTTAGATGGAAAGTGAAAGAAAGGTCTAAGTTACTCCAAGGAACCTCAGAAACCAAATGGCCTCAATATTCTCAGGAAAAAAAAGTGCATCTTTAAAAGCTTCCTACTTAACATTTCCAAATGGACTGCCCCTCTCACCGATTAGGGTTATTTCTCATAAAGAATCACATCTGTCTTTTCCCTCACCTTGGAGAACTTTCTCCATTGCCCTTAGGTCTTGTCCTTGTTCCACCTGAAAAATCAGACCAGGTCTGACCAGCTGGTGGGTGCCCTTCTCTCAGGGAAAGATGAACGATGTCAGAAGAATGTGCAATAGATGCCAAATATCTCCATAAACCAGGGGCCAAGATTCTGCTTTTTAGAGATTCTGAACACTGTCAGGTATAACTTGGAAAAACAACAAAATGTTCATGCCAATACTCATTAACAAGTAAACCTTCAAATGAACCTAAACTGCAAAGACTCTCTCTTTCATTGTGTACCAAAAAGACAGGTGATCCTTCCCCTGAAACCTAGGCTTAAGCTTCTACACACATGTAAGAAGCCCTAAGTCTTTGCTTCATAAAGAAAACATAGCCAGTAAAATGAACAGATCTTCATTTTTATGAGGAAAATACAGTTACTTAAGAAATATTTGGGTCAGGTGCAGTGGTTAATGCCTGTAATCCTAGCACTCTGGGAGGCAGAGGTGGGTGGATTGCTCAAGGTCAGGAGTTTGAAACTAGCCTGAGCAAAAGTAAGACTAAAAATAAAAAGAAATTAATTAGCCAACTAAAAATACATACAAAAAAGATTAGCAGGGCATGGTGGCGCATGCCTGTAGTCCCAGCTACTCGGGAGGCTGAGGCAGGAAGATCACTTGAGCCCAGGAGTTTGAGATTGCTGTGAGCTAGGCTGACACCACGGCACTCTAGCCCAGGCAACAGAGTGAGACTATGTCTCACAAAAAAAAAAAAAAAAAAAGAAAGAAATATTTGTTCCAGAAAAAGACTAAATGAAAGAATAGTACCAGTCTTACCTACTGCAACTAGATTCCTGTAGTTCTCCAGCATCACATCTCTGTATAAGTTCCTCTGAGTTTGATCCAACAAAGTCCACTCCTCCTGGGTGAAGTCCACAGCCACATCCTCAAAGGTCACCGAGTCCTAAACCATCACACATTATGCCGGCATCAGGCAAGTACCTTCACCATCGCGTTCATTAGAAAACGAGGGAGCTGATGTCCTGACAGCGTTCTGTGGTCTCTAGCACTCGACAGTCCTCTTATCTCTACATACTCACTGGTGATCACATGGCTTTAAGAGCATCAACTGAATGTACCTCACCACAGCTGGATTGTGACCTCTTCTGGCCTTATTTTTCTCTATTGACAGATTTTAGTATAGTCCTAAGCACATTATAAACACTGAAAAAAATGGTCCAGTGGCAACACAAATTCTCCATGTAGATGTTCATTCTCTCCCTTACTATTATAGCAAAATGAAAGCACAGAGCTAGCATGGATGAGAGTCAGACTCAATTAGTAAATACTAGGATAACAGGATCCCTTTGTAATCTGCTAACCACATGAGAGGCCCTGTCACCTGAAGAAATCTGACTAGAGACTTAGCCTCTAAGCAGGCCCTATTTTGCTTAAAGTAGCTTTGTTCCACTAGAAGGAAACACATCTACTCGGTAGGAGGAAACAGATACTACTATATAAAAATCAATTTCCTACTTACCTGAGAATTTGTTGGCCACCCAGCCACCATCCTTTCCTCTTCAGATTTTGCCTCATGAAGACAGAAACTGTCTTGAGAATGATCTTAAGAAGATGAAAAAACACCCTGAGAACCCAGGCTGCCCACATTTTAAGCCCAGAAACCACTTTACACTAATACTAAGTGAACACACACGCACACACACACAGAGTTGCCATAAAGTGCCTGAGCAGCCTGTCCCACCTGATGCCAGAAAAGGTGATTTAGGCTTTGATAACCAAGAGAAAGATTATAATAATCTCATTTTATAGACAAAGAAATGAAAGGTTAATGCTTTTTATTTTTTTGAGACAAAGTCTTGCTCTGTTATCTGGGCTACAGTGCAGTGGTGTCGTCACAGCTCTTTGCAACCCAAACTCCTGGGCTCAAGAAATTCTCCTGCCTCAGCCTCCTAAGTAGCTAGGATTACAGGTACACACCACCACTGGCTAATTTTTCTATTTGTTTCTGGAGATGGGGGTCTTGCTCTTGCTCAGGCTGGTCTCAAACTCCTGGCCTCAAGCAATCTCCCACCTTGGCCTCCCAGAGCACTGGGATTACAGGGATAAGCCACTGTGCTCAGCCAGACTTTTTTGGTTTTGGCCAAAAATGATAAAACTCATGTGATTTAAATAGAACTTCCTCCACAAAAGCAGGCATGCTTACTACTCCTTCCCAAATCCCAGGATTTAGACAACAGTATAGTCATATCTATGTTTGCACACCCCCCATTCCCACCCCCACCCCTGGTAGCTCAGAAGCAGGGCTACTTAGATCCTAGACCCTGATCATATGACAAATTGTTCACAGCCTAGTTAAAGCAGGGTCTCAAAGGAGCATCAAAAAGGATTTACCACCAAGGGAAAGATCAATGGCTGGCATCCTATGAGTATGATGGTAAAATCTGCCTGATCATCTTGTTCCCAAAGTCTCTTCAACACAGGATCTGAATTTATGGATAGGTCAACCTCAATTCCTTGATTAAGTAGTAATGAGAGTCTTGCCTCATCTTGTCAATCTTTAAGCAGTAGGCATTATTCATCTGTCATGAAGCATCGTTCATTAGTCATCTCTCTGCAAAAGATGAAGTTATTCATGGGAATGCCATCAGAAACTATAGAACACAATGCCACATGGATGTAAATACATAAATATCAACCGCCATTTACTGAGTATCCATTATGTGCCAGAAATAGTGCTAGAATAAGTTCATATGATCATCAAAGCAACTTTTATTACTGTCATTCAATAGTTCAATTCAAAACCTAAGCTCATCCTGACCAGCATGAAATGAGTAAAGAAAAATAAATATAAAAAAAAAAAGAAAAAAAAAAAAAACCTAAGCTCAGACAATAATAGTAATTGATCTAACAGCATCAATTAGGAAGTAGTGAGCTAGAATTTGAACGCAGGTTACTTTGACTCAAAGCCTAAAATCCTAAGGTTGCTGTTATCTCCAACATGACCAGAAGATGGTCACGAAATGATGTGCAGAAAGGTTAACCCAACAGGCCTAAGTTGCCCTAAACCTAGACTTTCCTAGAAAGATTTGTCTTCAGGACTGACCCTGGTTCAGCTCAGGAGATGACCTCTGAGCCCATGAACTATTTTGTCCAATAAGTGCTTCAGGTTCAAGACCTGAAGCATACTACTAGTAGTCTGGTTCAAGACCACACTACTAGTATGGACAGTATACTAATGATGTGATTTTTGTGGAAAACCTGTTTTTGTACAACTGAGGCTTTGGGCAACAAGGAATGAGGTTGAACTTTGGGAGGCTAGGCCTGAGTGGATGAAGTCAGTCACAGAGGCACTGAATGCTTACATGACTAACCCTCAATAAAAATCCTGGACACTAAAGTTCAGGTGAACTTCCCTGGTTGGCAACACTCCTCATGGATGTTACACACTGTTACTAGAAGAATTAGGTGCTGTCCATGTGACTACACTGGGAGAGGACACCTGGAAGCTTGATTTCTTCTGACTTCAATCCATACATCTTTTCCCTGTGCTGATTCTAATATGTATCCTTTTAATAAACTATAATCATGGTCTAATAGCTTCTGAGTCTTGTGAGGGCTTCTTGTAAATCATTGAGCACAAGGGTGGTCTTGAGGACCCTCAACACAGAATGGTTTACTGAATTCACACATCTTTGAGCTCCTCCAGCTGGCAAAGCCATATAGACTGGGTTGTCTCCCTTCAAGTCCTTACCTCTGGCTTATGCTTTCATTCATTCTGCAAAGATTTATGAAGGGCCTTCTTTTTACCAGGTAATATACCAGACACTAAGAAGAGAGCAGTCAACTATACAAAAAAATGTCCTATCCCTTAGGTAGCTCACATTCCAAAAGGCTAAGCAGATAAAACACATAAATATGTGCTGTATCAGCTGATGATAAGTGCTATGGAAAAAGTCAAGTAGATGAATGAATAAAGAATATCATCCCCTACTTCCCACCCCTCCCCCCCCCCAAAATTTGTGTTTACAGACTCAGAACTGGTTCTGGGCAAGATAATAATAGAAGAATAACCATTTCAGAAGACACTTGAAAACTGACACCTGGCTTGCCTAAAACAGTGATATTCAACTGTTGATCCAAAGCATTATTTCCCATGGTTTGAAGTAGATAAAGATGGCTCCTGTAAATCTAAAATACATCCTTACAGATAGATTTATTTTGATGAACAAACATTTTCAATTTTAATGTAGTCCAGTTCATATATATTTCCTTTATACTTAGTCATGTTTATATCTCATTTAAGGAAGTACTTCCTAACCCCTAAGGCCATGAAGATATTCTGTTATTTTCTTGAAGTTTAATTAGTTTGCTTTCACTTTGATGTCTAGATTCCACTTAAAATACACTTTTGTGATGGATGTGAAGTTGGGGATCAAATTACCTATTTGAGGAGAAAAAAATATCCATTCAATGAAGTTTCCTCACTGAATTACTATTATATGATGATTACTAAATGGTGATGTTTTAATTTCCTCACTCCTACATGTATTGGTTGGCATTCTATGTGGAAGGTGGTTAGTCCTAGTGATGTGGCTTTTTAAAATCACATCCCCATGGAGAAAGGACCCCTCATCCTTGCAGAAAGGGCTGAGGAAACACCTCAGAGTTTGCCAGCCCCCTCAGCATTATGTTGACTCCTCCGAGGGCAAAATCAAGACCGTTTAAGACAACTTTTTCCTCAACCTACCTGAAACCAAACACGATCACCCCTCATTCTCTGGACTGTTTAATTTCACTCCTGTTTTCACCATTTGGTTAGGTGAAATGCACCATTTGCTGAAAGGATGGATGTCCCAACTGGCATGCAGTGTCTTGGATGTTTGGCCCAAGCTAGGGACCACCCACAATTTAGCTGTTTGTATAAGAACAAATACACCTTGGTAAGATTAATTTGACATGTGAAATACTTTTTTCAATGCTAAGCCTCTGAGTCCAATTCCTTAATTTTCTATCCAAGAAATTAAAGCACTATAAAGTTTTTGGATTCTTAAAATTTTACCTTGACTTGACTTATATCACTTTACTGAAATCAGTTATTGTTTCCTATCAGTTCTATAATAAAGATTTCCTCACTCTGCATTTTCTATTTCAGTAAATGGATGGTAGTGTCAAACCTGCAATTAATCCTTGATGTACTCCTTCCCCTCTCATACCAGAAATATAAATAACCAATTAATCAAAAGATCCATGATATTGTCTCTATGCAGAACACTTCTCATACCATGCCACTCTTCCCCACAATCTCTAGCCTATCTAACTCCTAACTCTTTGTATTTTTGATCTCAGTTTAAATGTCATGTCCTCAGTATATCATTTCTAGGTTGGTTGTTATTGTTCCCCTCACTACCATTAAAAAATGTTTTGGGCCGGGCGTGGTGGCTCAAGCCTGTAATCCTAGCACTCTGGGAGGCTGAGGCGGGAGGATTGCTCGAGGTCAGGAGTTCGAAACCAGCCTGAGCAAGAGCAAGACTCTGTCTCTACTATAAATAGAAAGAAATTAATTGGCCAACTAATATATATGTATATATATATAAAAAATTAGCCAGGCATGGTGGCGCATGCCTGTAGTCCCAGCTACTCGGGAGGCTGAGGCAGAAGGATTGCTTGAGCCCAGGAGTTTGAGGTT